AAAACAACCTGAAAATCATAGATAATTTTGACAAATCAAGTCTCAAAACTTGTCTCGTGCAGAAAATTAGGACAGAAGCAGACACCCACCCTTTTAACATTGTTCAAGTCAAAATGTCTATCCAATGGAAGCTGCTTGATACGGTTGGGGAAATTTCCTTCAAAACTTGCAACAACTTTCCAACCACTTCCCTGAACAAGAATCAAAAAGTGTTTGAGAAAAACATTCGCCAAGCTCCAAAAGGGATTTCAGCCCATAAACTGAAAACAGAAAAGTACAAAAACTCTAATTCAAACACTCAGTTGGCTTTTACACATATCATAAACATCCACTATCAGATTCATGAAATTCCCAACAATATAATGTGATCTTACCAAACGTAGGTTAGCAAGAGACTTTCCACTACACTAGCACTAAATCCGAAATGGCTGATTGCTAATATTGGAAGAGTTCTTCTCTCTCACTATATTCTTGAATTTTCGACAAAATCTAGTTAATTTATGTAAGAAAGTACTTACTTCACCACCAGCCAAGTGCAGAAGAAACTTGTCTTCAAACTCACGGCAAAGCTCCAAAGCTATAGCCCTTGTACCTTCAGCACTGTTAACTAATTGTTCACCAAGCCTCGCTAGCTCATCCTGCACTATTTGAGACTTACCCTGGAGCCTGCACAAAGAATTTGAAAGCCATATGGGTTCAAGCAACCAATGTCATATGCCTATCAAGTAACAACATAATAAAAATCATGAAGAAAGTACATATATGGAGAGAAGCAATACCCAGACAAGACACTTGGAAGCCTGAGCTTCATTCTGCTACGAATCTGGCTAGCAAGGGTGTCCACCAACGCGATTCTGCCAAGCTTGCTTTGTGGAGCCCCAGTCAAAATGGACTTAAGACTTTCACTCTCAGCACGCCAAGCAGTTTCTAAGGAGTTCTCACCACTTCCAGACTGTGCTGACGCAATTGAAACGGACTGGCCAATAATAGCAACCCATGGAATGTCAGTTGTTTTTGGAGGTCCTTGATTTGAAAGAAGAGCCTGAACAGCTGCAAGGGCTTTCGAGTTCTCTGCTGCCTGGTCAATTTTTCCAATAATGCCTACTGTCCTAGTACCTATAAGTAGGGAGGAGTGATGATAGGTAATGAGTATTTTAAGCAAACTGAAGTGATAATAGGCTGGTAAATCAACAGTTATTATCAGATATAAAAATAGTAAACAATATAAGATAAGACAGATCGGAAATACAGATGTACTCACTCTCTGGATCATACTCCTTTGCAATCTTAAGGGCTCGGGATGATGAAATTTCAGATGCCTGGCTAGCAGGCACTATAACCAGCAGTATGGCATCATTGTGTTGCGCGTATTCAGCAATCTTGCAAAGAGATCCAAGAAACAAACAACAATTTTATAAGGACAAACATGATAATGAATCCATGTTATCACTTCAGTTGGAAACCGATAAAAATAGTCGAAATCTTTTGTTTCGTGGTTGTCAGGCAAGTTAAGGATATGACAAAGGCATTAAGTAGTTCCAAGTCTCACCATTGACTCGTCCACAATCCTCTGGTCCAGTCCAGGCAGATCAACTAATTTCAATGGTGGAGCTGAAATGTAAAGGGTAAACGTAACAGGTTATGATGGTCAAATAAAATTTAAGAAAATATAGGTCATATGTCATCACTCATGTTCAAAAGAGTACTATTTATGTTAAAGCTCCGTTAGATATATAATCTGATACCCCCCAAAGTAAAGCTATAAGCTCTAAACCAGTGTACTAGATACTATATAAGGATAGCAAGATATTACAGCTGACCAGTTCACTGATATTAAAGATAAATTCATGCACCCAACTTAGGTTCGCTAAGTATGTGCTATTTGAAGAGTAGATAGGCTTGCCACTTATGATTGTGCAAGTAAAAAGGGGCTTACCTGTGCTGGTACGAAGTTTTAAGTTTATTTCATCACGATTCTTCCCTGAGGCTCCTTTGCTAAGTCTATCTTGTAGAGAATGTCTCAGGGCACCTACAATATACCCATGTAGAACACAATGGAGATATTATGAGAAGATTGATCGAAAGCTTTATATCAGAAATGCAGAAAGAGCCTCACATATGATACACATAGCATTGCTAAATTGATATGTTCATAGATAGACTTACTTGCAGAAACTTGCTGAGATTTATTGTCGATTTGCAAGATAATTGCCTTGCTGCTCAAAGAACTCTCCCTGCTCAATTCAATTATTATAGGAGCTCGTGTAGCACCATTCTCACCCGTCGGCTGTACATAGTAAGTGTAGCAGACACAACAGAGGTCAGTATGAATTTAAGAACAGGCGTGAGCCAATAATAACCATAAGAAACTCCCATAGACTCAAATTACAACTTACCAGCACTGGATGCCCAATTAGACTGTTTAGAACTGCAGACTTTCCAGCTCCCTGGTTCAGTACGCAAAAAGAGATAAGTTATAAATATCAATATACATCAGCCTTCTCCGGATTTGTTCTCCTGCACCAGTCGCTCCCGGATTTTGATCTCATGTAACCATAAATCCACTAATAAAGAGAAACACAAAGCTCTAAACGATGATTGTATCCTAACAAAACTCTAGGTTCCAGGAAAATTCGATAAAAACCTAATCTAGATCCAGAAGATCCACGATATCGCATCCAACATCAACACTCGAGCCTATACACGAGCAAATCGAGGAGCGTGGAGTGAGAGCAAGGAACTCACCACATTTCCTAAGGCAACGACGTTGAGGAAAGTAGCAGGGCGCTTGGAAGAAGAGGTCTCGTCGGGATCTTCGTCGGCGAGAAGCGACGCCGCCTGTTTCATCGAATCTGAGAGCTGAGACAACTCATCGATCGCCTCCATCGCGACTAGCAAAAGCCCTCCGCGAATCGAGATCGAGTAACCGATTCAAAGTAAAGAGATCTGGAGGAAGAAGGAAGCCACTCGATTAGATCTGGCCAGAACCGAAACCGGCGGCTATGGGCGGGGGCTTTCCCGGTGAGACGAGGGCCGGAATTTGGAATCCGGTCGCGATGGTGTTAAGCTAAAGATTTTTCGTTGGGGATTTCGTAAGGGAAGGCAGAAGAAATGAGCGAAGACGACGAGGTCATAAAAGAGGACGTACGTAAGAATTACAAAGACACGGGACAAGATTCAAATTTCAAAAGAGTTACAAAAATCATTATCTTTCTAAAAAATTGATCGGACTCAAGTGCTTCTTTTTTTTTTTACTTTTTAAAAAATTTCAGCAAATGTGATGTGATTATATACAAAAAAACAAACACACAATTTTATTACTTTGTTATCAATTTATGATCATCTGTTAAATCCATTCAAAGTACACTAGATAATGTTGGAATCTCACATTACTTAATCAATGTGAAGGTTTCAAATAAAAATGTAATCAAATGCTGTTGTGGATCTCGTTGTTGTTCAGTGTTCACGTAGATATCGTTGATATATTTACCAAAGAAATAAAAGACCCAATAGTTCATCTTTATTTTGCACCGATTGGAACACAGAAAATTATCTATATCCCGCGTCAATAATTTACCTAAAGGTAAGGGCAAACAAAAAATCTCATCACAAGCAGCAGTAACGGATGTAGAAACATAATTAACATGGGCACAATATTAACATATAAATTTTCAATATAAAGTTTTATATAAAGCTATTTACAAACATGTAAATGAAGCAAATTGATCTTAACAATGTAATTGTTTTTCCCACCAAAAAAAAAAAAACAATGTAATTGTTTTGAACTATATTTGTGATTTTTTTTTTATTTTTTTTGCATGGATCTCATCTTCCTTCCTTCATAAATGTCGTCTATCATACCTTCCAACATCTTAGGACTAGTTTGGCAATGTTAACAATTCTTTGGGATGTATTGACAAGTATAATTATAAAAAAACAAACATTGGACACAAAAAAATATGAAATTTCCAAGCTAACTACTAAATTTCTAGGGACACAAATTGATAAGTACCATTGATTTTTTGACATCTAGATACCATATTGTTCGTTTAGGATGATAGTTCTTCCACCATGCTTTGGAGTTTGGATACTAAAATGGCAAAAAAAACTTTTCATAGATCCCAGAAAATAGTATAGGCATCAGTATGAGATTTTCCGGTGATTAAAACATATTAAGATATTTTCCAAAATAAATAAATAAAATTCCATAAATCACAAACTTTAAAAAGGAAAAAAAAAAATTAGAATAAAATACATTGTCTCAATACTTTAACATAACCAAAAGAAGAATCAATAAATTTTACTAATAGATAATCTATATATACATTTTCGAAAAATTGTAGAAATGTATTACAATCTTAAAATTATTTAAAATAAAAATAGTAAGGAAATAGAAATTAGATCATCTATAAGTTTGACTACTGGAGGATAATCAAGATTTATTTTTTTTCAAAAATGAAATGTCGGACCAAAGTTGACGAGCACTAAACCACGTCATAATCAAAACGTGGGCCCTCCGGCCCAATAACTTAAAAACCTATAGATTCTTCCCACCTGGCAAGATCTGCGGAGTTTGAACTCGTTATGTTTTTCGACGTGGAGTTTTAAACTCAATTAATCTAATTAAATTAAGCATAAACTCCAATTAATTTTGTTCTTTTATATATTATAAAGATCAAAATCAACCACAGACATAGATTTCAACTAGAAGAAACAAAAGACCAGATTTGTTTATGTTTCTTCTTCTTCTTCTTCCTCTCTGCATCAAATTCAGTTTCTGATCTGTTTCAGTCGTCGTTTCTCACTTTCTACGAAGATTTCCAGAGATCCAATTCCCATTTTTCAAGTTACCTTTTTGTTTTCTTTTCCAAAAATTGTGGATTTGATTCTATGTTACAAATTTAGAAAATTTCTCGAGGAGATTGAATGAAATGGAATATTTCTTGAAACAATCAGATTCTCTTTAAATCATAAGAATGTTTCCCTGAAACTTTATTTTTGGGGAACAGAGATCACTGTGTTGTGTTGTTAGGTAGACAAGTTTGAGTTTCTCGAACAATGGCGAGAGGAGGGAAAGAGGAAGGAGAAAAACACATAGGGTTACTAAAGCTGGCTCAAACGCTGTCGTTTTTGCTAATATTCATGGCCGGAATCATAATCGGCCTCGCCGCAAGTTCTCACATCGATCGCTACTTCAATTCTTTGCCGAGGATGTTCTCATCAACCACTAATCTCCAATCGATTCCGTTTTCGACTCCTGATTACTCCAATTGCACAATCATCCACCGGGATTGCACAGGTAACGACGAGAACGACGACGGAGGAGGAGGAGTCAAGGCGGAGAAACCAAAGGATCGAGATTGTTGGAGCATTGATGGGTTTGTTCGGCCAGAGAATCTGAGTCATGGAATGAGTGATGATGAGCTTTTTTGGAGAGCTTCGATGGTTCCGGTGAAGGAAGAGTATCCGTATGATAGGGTTCCGAAAGTGGCGTTTATGTTTCTGACGAGAGGGCCTTTACCTATGCTTCCGCTTTGGGAGAAGTTTTTTAAAGGCAATAGCAAATACTTATCGGTTTATGTTCATACGCCTCCTGGATACGACATGAATGTCTCTCGTGATTCTCCGTTTTACGACCGCCAGATCCCGAGCCAGGTACAGATACATAGTTTCACCAATGACTTACTCTAGTATACAAGAATAGAGTAATGGATTAGTAGATGAGACTTGTAGTTAGAAACTGGGGAATTTCATCTTTATGGAGATGAAGTTATTTTGCTTTAGGCCCGGAAATTATGTGGAAACGCTAATACTAGATTTGAGCTGGAACTCATACCTATTAACACATACTATTTACCAATTCTGATGGATCTTCTAATTTGTTCATGTACTTTGCATGATTAGCACATTTGGGATGTAGAAATATAGTCATTCTGGATCATGGAGATCTACTTCTCTAGAGGAACAACTCTAATCGGTTTGAAGGAATCCAAGTTACATTTGAGATTGTTAATAGGTGCTTAAAATTTTAACTTTTCAATTGTTCTTTCACTGGGAGCTACATCTATTTCAAAGTTGTGCATAGATGAAGCTTTGTTACTCTTGCGAATTAGTTTTAGTCAGCCATCTGTGTCTTATGCAGCTTTCAGGTGGTTACACAGCCTTTTAAAGTTCATGCGTAATTTTGCTATTATGTGATGATGTGGAACATAGCTGGTTTTAGGATAAGGATTGGGAACAGCTTTTATTATAGAGGTGAACTGCTTAGCCACTAGGAAACTAAAAAAGACTTGTTCATAGACACATTATATAAGCTTCTCTTGTTGGTTCAAACACCTTTTATTGTAGTAATCTCTTTAATTTTCTCTGTATGTCACAATGATCCTGGTAATTGCACAAGGCTTTGTTTGGTTCTTCAACTTGGCCATCTCATACTCTCACAAAAGTTTGATGGATCATGGATTGTGTGTCATTGTATGCTAGATCTAGTTGATAAAAAATCTAAAGAATCTGTCTGGTTCTGATGGTTTTTTATACTTTAATTTTTCAGAGAGTTGAATGGGGATCCCCACTATTGACAGACGCAGAGAAGCGTCTTCTAGCCAACGCATTGCTGGACTTCTCAAATGAGCGTTTTGTTCTTCTCTCAGAGAGCTGTGTCCCAGTTTACAACTTCTCAACTGTCTACACTTACCTAATAAACTCTGCTTACAGTTTTGTGGACTCTTATGATGAGCCAACACGTTATGGCCGTGGCCGTTACAGCCGCAAGATGCTCCCGGATATCAAACTCCATCACTGGCGCAAAGGGTCTCAGTGGTTTGAAGTAAACCGTAAAATCGCCATCTACATCATCTCAGACTCAAAATACTACTCATTGTTCAAACAGTTCTGCAGGCCAGCTTGTTACCCGGACGAGCATTACATCCCCACTTTCTTGAACATGTTTCACGGTTCAATGAACGCAAATAGAAGCGTGACATGGGTTGATTGGTCCATAGGCGGGCCGCATCCAGCTACATATGCTGCAGCTAATATCACAGCAGGGTTTCTACAATCAATAAGGAAAAACGAGACGGATTGTCTTTACAATGAAGAGCCAACTTCGTTATGCTTCCTTTTTGCTCGGAAGTTCTCTCCTTCTGCCTTAGCTCCTCTTATGAACTTGAGCTCTACTGTCATGGGGTTTTGAGAGAAAAACAAACTGATTCATTGCTCTTCTTCTTTCTACTTTTATAGGGATGAGATGAGATTCTTCTACGAGATATATATACATAGGACTCTTTTTCTTTATTAGTTTCCTTTGGTTCTCTTCATTATTTTGGGTTTTAGAGACGATCGTTTAGGTCAAGCCTTTTGTATGTAAGAGTTTTACTTCTGCCAACCTGCAGAGCTAATCTGGTTATAGAAAAACAAATATATATTCTTTTCATCACTTTTTGGAAGAAATGAAATCTAATGTTATGACGAATTACTGATTTTGAATTCCATTACTCTTTAGAAGCCACTGGGAACTTCAAGAGAACCATACATACAAGTGAAACAAGGGTAACGGTCAACTATTAGAAAAACGTATTAGATTATGATGTTGATCCTTAAATAAATAAATACTAGAGTTTGCAAAAATTGGGAACCACAAAGCAAAAGCCAAATTAACTATGAGGAGAATGATGGTGCAGAAGAAATAGCGAGTTTGTCTAACTAGTTCCTCAACTCCACTACCTTTTTTTCTTCTCCGTCTTGCCATTCATGGAGGGACCCTGACTCCTGTTGTTGAGGAAGATGACTGTCCACAGAGTTTGACCTCGGTGTCTGATTAGCCACCTCTTCTGGCGTGGGATTTGACCACTGTGACTGCTGATGGCTAGTTGTCTGGTTAGACCACTGTTGCTGCTGCCCTGTCCACGCTGACTGCTGGCCAGCTGTCTGATTAGCCCACCGTTGCTGCTGGCCAGTTGTCTGATTACCCCAACCTTGCTGCTGGCCGGATGTCTGATTAGCCCATGGTTGCTGCTGGCTAGGAGTCTGATTAGCCCACGGTTGCTGGTGACCAGTGTTCTGATTAGCCCATTGTTGCTGGTGACCAGTGTTCTGATTAGCCCATTGTTGCTGCTGGCCAGGCGTCTGATTAGCCCACTGTTGCTGCTGGCCAGGCGTCTGATTAGCCCACTGTTGCTGCTGGCCAGGCGTCTGATTAGCCCACTGTTGCTGCTGGCCAGGCGTCTGATTAGCCCATGGTTGCTGCTGGCCAGCTGTCTGACTAGCCCATGATTGATGATGACCTGAAGGACTTGACCACCCGGATTGCTGCTGTTGATATCCTGGTGCCTGACTCGACCATGATTGTGGCTGTTGCCCTGCTGTCTGATTCGACCACGATTGCTGCTGCTGGTTAACAGACGTGTTGGACCAAGAGGGATTTTGGCCATTATTAGCCTTGTAAGTTCCTCCTACTGTTTGACCTGCAGTTCCATTGGCCCAACCTAAATTGGGAAGCCCCGCCCCTTGGCTCGTCCATGGGGCCCTGTCTCTAGACTGCTGAGGAGCTGCAGGTGTAGTTCCAAACACTGCGGGTACACTAGGTGAAGTGTTACCAGACTGCCCAAGGTTTCTAACCGGCCGAGCAACCGAGTTCAAAATTTTCTCAATCTCCTCACGACGCCCTGTCTTTTCAAAAACCTCAATGATGAATTCCCGCAGCACAGTAGTAACCCCAACATTATGTCTAATCATCTCACCAATAATGTCCTTGGCTTGGTCAAGTGCATCACCATCACAAAGACCTCTAACCACCACATCATAAATCGAAGGATCTGGTTTTGGTTCCCTCTCTCCCATCTTAGTCAAAACTTCTGCAGATTCCGTGAGCTTACCATTCTTAATCAGCTCGCCAAAGACTCTCGTACCAAAATCAGCAACCACCCGTAGATTCACATCCACCATCCTGTCCAACATCTTGAGAGCATCGTCGATTCTCTCTGCCTTGAGATAAGCATCGATCATTGCTCTATGGCTTGGAGCATCAGCAGGCAAAGATTTGGATACACCTTCAGCAAAGAACCTTTCAGCCTCTGTTAACATCCCTTGTTCACAGAACCTTGTTACTATGTTACAGTAACCTAAATAATCCATCACAAACGGTTTGGAGGTGACCTTACTTCCGACCTTCTTGAATGTATTAATCGCTTCACTAAACTCTCCCATCTTGAAACATTCATTGACCATTATACTAACCGTATCCGAATTCACCGAAAGGATATTCGGAGGAGTGTGATTATCCAACATCTCATTAAACAAAGCCCAAGCTTCATCCTTCTTACCATACTTGAGAAAAACTTCCAAAAGTACATTACCAGTCGGAGGATGCATTCTGAATTTCTTATCTAACAAAGACCTGTAAGACTCCATAGCTTCCTTATCATTCCCTTTCTCGAACCAGTACTCCATAAACGTCGCATTCACAATCCCATCATAAACAGTACACTTAGACTTCAACTCATCAAAGAACTCAATAGCCTTATCGAAATCACCAAGGTCCAAATATCCCCTAATCAGATTGTTGTACACTGTCGAATCCGCAGCTTGACCTTTGCTCAGCATCTCCCTTAGTAAACTCGCAGCATCTCCGATCCTTCCAGCTTGAACCAAACCTTTGGTCAAATGTCTATAAGTAACTGATGATGGAGCAAAAGGAGCATTAGCCAAGATGTGTCGGTACACTTCAAGGGCTTCGTCCACATGCCCTTCATCACAATGAGCGTTGATGATCTGATTGTATGAGACTACATTGGGGACGATGTTATACTGCTTAAAGAAATATTGAAACAGAGAAATCGATTCACTGTAACGCTTGGCCCGGTACATAGCGGCGATAATGGCGTTACAGGTGAACACAGTAGGTCGAGTATTGGAAAACACAGACTGGCGAGCAAGCCGTGACGCAGCGTCAAGATCTGAAGCTCTGATCAGTGACTGGACTCTGTTGTGAAGGTTAAGCCTTTGGCCGACGAGTGCGGAAGTTGAATCCGGAAGCCGTGGCGCGTTGGGATCACGTTTAGGAGGAGGAGCTGAAGGATCGCGTCTGAGAGCGTGGAGAGGAGGTTCAATTCGGAGACGACGTTTACGGCGGCGGCGCTCAGCAGCGGCTTCTTCGGCTGAAGAGAAGGCCATGGTACGATGCGGGATCGGTGGATAGGGAATTGGAGGGGTGTGATTCTGAGGAATCTGGAATTGGGAAGGATCAATTGGAATTGGATTAGGGTTTGGGTTTTTCTCTGAATCCTGATTATTACCAGTGGTCGTCTCCGGATCTTCATTTGCCGGGGAAAGTGAGATGTTGTGGATGCGTTGGTGGAGGAAGGAGATCGAAAGAGGGCTACGGGTAGTGGTGGTGGTTGTACAGAGACGGCGGAGGAGGTGACTGAGAGACATGGTGGAGGGAAAATGATTTAGGGTTTTAGAGGTTAGAGGAAGACGAAACCAATGACGATGGTGGGAGTAGAGAGAGCGAGCTCGTGGCTTAAACCCTTGGATGTGATAAATTAAAAATTAATGTCGAAATGAAAATTAAAGGACGACGTCGTAGTGTTTAACGGTGGCTGTTTGGTAGTACGTGTAATGTTATTCCAAAGACAAGTAAAGAAAGGCTCAAACGATATTAACAGACCATAATATGTGTCTCAAAGAAGCCATAGCTGGTGGTGAGATGCCAACCACTAAGCATGCACTCTGCATATGGATGGTTGTTGGAAAGTTTTCATCCTGGTTTAATGCCGGTCTTGGGGACTGGAAAGCTGAATCCCATCGCCTCTGCCATCTGGAATCTGTTGAGGAGTTCGAGTTGGGTTGGAGAGATATGGTGAACTCTTTTGGACTGCACACAAACATACACATAAACAACTTGAATCCCTTACGTTCCTTGTGGTCTTTACCATACCTGAGAAGCCATTTTTTGACTGGCCGATCCAAAGCCATTAACGCTTTCATTCAGAATTTATTGAGCGCACAAACCCGGCTACAAAGAATAGTGGTATATAGTGAGGTTAATGGATTACTGAAACTTCCTTTACCTATGATTCAACTGCTGTAGGTGAAGTATGTAGCAAATACATCAGATCTTTTGTGTAGAAGCTAACAGGGGAAACCGACTTCAAAGGAACCAAGGCGTAGAAGAGTCAGTGAAATCTCGAAACAGAGAAGAAAATCGCGGTTTCACATAATGCTGAATTGCAGACTTTGTTCTTTGCCTCTATAAACTGGTACCTACTCCAATTCTTCCATAAAAAATTTATCTCTTACATCACACAAAGGCTGTAAGATCTTCCTCGATGTAACTGGATTTCAATTAAATGAGATCTTACTAATGAGCTAAGAATCTTTTAGATTGTTGTTTTGCGCTTTTGATATTAGGTTTGTCAATCTAAAAAAAAAACTAATCGAAGTAGTAACAGATATATATATATATATACCTTAAATTGAATGTTTTTGAATGTTTAACTGGACTTCAGAGCATAGAAGAAGAGAACACCCACATATTAACTTCTTAACCCGAACCAAACCTGCAGACCATCTTCAAGCTTACGAGAGCCGACGAGCTAGGGATTTCTCCATGTCTGTGTCGGTTACGTTCAAACCAAATAGAGTAAACAGTGGCTTGGAAGACAAGTCTTAAGATATATTGATGTGTTCGGAACCAGTGAGCAGAGGTAGAATCGCCGTAAAGCTGCAAGTATAGTGGTGCTGAAGTAGCTTGCGAGATATATATATATACTTTACATATAAACATTTGTCTTACATTTGTGCTGGAGGATCATCTACATATATTCAAGCCTCTGCGCTGAGATCAGCAAAGAGCAACACTCCAATCATTACATCGGTTAACCGCTGGAGCGTTTTGGAGCCCGAGAATGCCAGCTCATCCACTTTAGAGCCAATTGGTCAGATAGAAGAGAGCAGCAGTTCAAAAACTACTGGTAAAGAACTGGTGGAAGGCTCCGGTGAAGAAGTGGCGGATGACTGGGAGAAGGTATGTGAGTGAGGGAGCAAATGCCAAACAAGTGTGATTGGTTTTCCACTTCTAAAGGCAGATGATAGGGTTTAGTTGCACACTTATCCATGTTCAAGAAGCAAATATATATGGACATTTGTATTGAATGAGATTGTTTTTATATTCAAATTTCAAGTAGCAAATATACTTACAAATAACAAATCAGATCAAGTTATTTATTTGTACTTGCTTAATGGTTAAAGTCCAATTACTTAACCATTACACTCCCGTAACTTAAATGGCCCAAGACGGTCACAAGTAATAGAGATTAGCAAGTATTGCTTGTGCCCAGGCTTAGCAGGTAAGCCACAACGGGGTAAGAACCGAATTTCAATCAGAATCCAACACAAATTTGAAAATAAAAGTGAGGTGTAATTTAGAAAAAATAGTTAACTCCTCGGTGATAATAGGCAATGCCAAACATAGCATAAAGTCAACAAGGAGGTGTGTGCAACTAAACACCATCACCAGCATCGTATAATAACCATCACGAGAATCCTAATAACGTAAAAAGTTCTGTAAATATTATTGCCACAACAACAGCAATGCAGACGAGTATGGGCAGAAACCACCAATATACAAAGTCAATAAGGAGGTGTGTGAAACTAAGCCCCATGACCAGCATCGTGTAATACATCCTAATTAACTTTCCATTGATGTTAATCCAAGGCAAGTAATCCAATGCATCTAGAAGCAATCCCATAGTCATGTGAAACCTAAAGTAGCGAGGCAAAGATTCGTTCTTCACCATCCACATGAACCCTAAGCAGCAATACACCATGAACAAGCTGTTTTGCAATCTGTTTTCTGCTACTGTGGTGATTGATGAGTTATCGTCTGCAGATGCTGTCACACGTCTCCGGTCATAAGCAAACGATGATGAAGATGCAAAGTCATTTGCTGCAGATATTCTCTAGACATTAGTTTGCAAGGTTTAAACATTAATTAATAAACATATATATAATACCTAGAAGAGGAAGAATCTGTCTCGAGATTCTGGATTTTGGGAATGAACCAACACACACTCTTGTTGGTTTCGTGTGTGTTTTACTCTGATTCCTGGCAAAACACACCAATATATTAACATAGATAAAGTGTGATATATGATCATAAATTAGTGTTATAAGTTATATAGTCTCTGAGCCGTAACTCTAAATAATTTGTTGCAATATCTTTTAGTTTTACATTAATATCTTTAACAAAACAAAAACACGTTTTACATATACCAAAAGTCAACTGATGACAACCTTAATCACGATCAACTGAAGAAGAGGAGAATAAAACCTGGGACCGAGGAATGAAAGCGAGACACGATCGGTGGAAGTCGCCAAACCCTGCATAATTTTTAGGGGTTTATTTTATTTTTCAAAGATTGGATGGATAAGAGATATATATATAGAGAGGCAAACTCCGAAAGACACAAGAGTACAGGCCCATCAATGGTTTGTCCAAACTCAGATCCCTAAACTAAATGGGCCGAGAAGAAAAAATAGACGCAACAACAGTTTCTTTCTAATTTTCAGAAAAAATAGAGGCAAACTCTCTTTCTCTCTCTATCTCTTGCAACTTCTCTGTTTATAATCTCTTGACGCATTTTGTGTATCAAGGAGTCATTTTTTTAAGAAGATGAACGAAATTGGAATTCGAATCATGCGAGTTTTTTTTGTTTTTGAAATCTTCTGATAATTTCAAACTTTTCGAAAACAGCGACTTTCAAATTATGCAAACCAGGACAATTCGAATTGAGTTAGCTTCGAAATCTCTAAATTACATTAAAAATTCAATCCTTATAGGATACTTTTGAATTCTGAATCTTTCTAGCTTCGTACTCATGAGTTTAAAGCTTGTAATCTATGTGTTAGTGGCATTGTGGTTTCTTAAGTATCAATTGGTTAAGACTAGATGCTTCCAGTTTGAGGATTTTTAAGCTTAGATGATTCTGTAAACATTATGTAGCAATTCATTGGTAATGTTACATAAGTGAAATAACAGTATTTTTGTTATGTGCTTGTCAGGCAAAGTGCTGAATACACCTAAGGAGTTAAATGTCGGATGACCCTAGACAGATGTTGCTCATCTATGATGACCCTTCAGATCAGCTAGTGCCTTGTAGTACTGAGGAATCTCCAGACGAGAACACCCTCTATTTAGAAGCAGTTCACAATGCCATTCCATATTTCGGACACACATGATGCTGCTTACGAGTTCTATAGTACATTTGCAAAGCGTTGTGGCTTCTCCATACGTCGTTACTAGGCGCTACTTTGTTTGGTAACACACCTATCAACACTCTAAGTGAGGAAAATCACAGAGAAACAGAAGGTCTTGTCGATGCGGTTGTCAAGCTTACTTATGGATTAGAAAACTTACTGAGTTAGGTTCAACGGAATGGCGTGTTACGGGTTTTGCTAATCACCACAATCATCAACTCCTAGAACCGAATCAAGTTCGTTTACTTCCTGCATACAGGTCCATATCAGATGCAGATAAAAGTCGGATTTTGATGTTTTCCAGTTCAGTTCAGCAGATGATGAGGCTCTTGGAGCTTGAAAAGTGTGTCAAGCCAGGATGTCAGGAATTTGCTTCAGTCATTCAAGAAACTCGATCCTGATGATGAGAACATCTATTTCTTGAGGATGTGCCAAAGCATAAAGGAGAAAGACCCTAACTTTTAAGTTCGAGTTTACCTTGGATGCAAATGCTTCTTCCATTCAGTCATATGAAATCTTTGGAGATGCTCTAGTTTTTGATACAACACATCGCTTAAGTGCAGTGGAGATGCCACTTGGAATATGGGTTGGAGTTAATAACTGTGGTGTGCCTTGCTTCTACGAGATGAAAATTTGAGATCGTGTTCATGGGCACTACAGGTAACAGAATGGCACACTTAGCTGATAAATTTCCTTTTCCAATTATTTCTGTTTTAAATTCTTGGCAATTGTCTGTGGGTAGTGCGAATAAGCAAATCAAATTGTATTTGTTGTATAAGTTACTTGTAGAAGTTCCTATATCCAAAAAGCAGATCAAAGTTGTTTCTACTCTGACATTCTTTAATTTCTTATGGAAGGCATTCACAGGGTTCATGAATGGGAAGGCATCTCAAACGATATTTTAACAGACCATAATATGTGTCTCAAAGAAGCCATAGCTGGAGAGATGCCAGCCACTAAGCATGTTCTCTGCATATGGATGGTTGTTGGAAAGTTTCCATCCTGGTTTAATGCCGGTCTTGGGGAGCGGTACACCGACTGGAAAGCTGAATTCCACCGCCTCTACCATTTGGAATCCGTGGAGGAGTTGGAGTTGGGTTGGAGAGATATGGTGAACCCTTTTGGACTGCACACAAGCAGACACATAAACAATTTGTATGCCTCACGTTCCTTGTGGTCTTTACCATACCTGAGAAGCCATTTTCTAGATGGAATGACTTTGACTGGCCGATCGAAAGCCATTAACGCCTTTATTCACAGGTTGTTGAGCGCACAAATCCTGCTAGCTCACTTTGTAGAACAAGTATGTTCTCTTCTCCACTCTGACAGTGTTAATTCATTGCTAGTCTAGTAAGAAGAGGGCCATGGATAGTGAAGTGAGCTATTTCAAGCTCTTAGGCCATCTATGCATTAATTGTTCAAGTATTTAGTTTATAGGGTTTATGCATTTTAATCTCATGAAATGGTACCGTACGTGTAAAGGTGCTAAGTAGGTAATCAAATAAATACAGTTTTTGATTGAGAAAGCACACCTGGTCATTGTAAAATATGAGAACGTAAAAGCTAACAGTCGTAGAGTAAGTATTCACTTTGTAAATACCCAGTAGCTCACTCTGTATCTCCCTTAGTACTGTTGTCTTTCCCTTACTCTTTTCTCTCCCAACTAGATATAAAGAACGTATTGCCTCTCATGTTCTGCTCAGTTCGGTTTGCTTTTCACATTGTAAACCAAATACAATCCATCTCGTTGGATATCGAAGTGAGTTTCTTTCGTTTACAGCTGGGATCGGTTTTTGGACCTTGCTAACACACACACACAACAATGGGATAACAACCGAATTTGAAATGAAACAAGACTTTATTACTAGAAAAAGCTCAACGTAATATAAAGTCAACAAGGACATGTGTGCAACTAGACACCATCATCATATATGACTTAAAACCATCTAAGATAATCCTAAAACCTTACAAAGTTGTACAAATGCCATTCCAGCACCAACAAAACAGAGGGCGATTTTAGGGGCAGCCCACCATAATATGTCAACAAGGGTGAGTGTGCAACTAAATCCCATCACCAGTATCGTGTAATACACCCTTAACCTACCATTGATGTTAATCCAAGGGAAGAATTCGCATGCTTCTAGAAGCAATCCCATAATCATGTGAAACCTAAAGTAATGAGGCAAAAATTCTTTCTTCACCATCCACATGAACCCTAGGCAGCAATACACCATGAACAACCTGTTTTGCAATCTGTTTTCTGCTACCGGGGAGATTGAGTTTTTGTCTGCAGATGCTGTCACACGCCTTGGTAGTCTCCGGTCAAGAGCAAACGATGGTGAAGTTGCAAAGTCATTTGCTGCAGATATTCTAGACATTAGTTTGCAGTGCTATATATGAAGAAAGGTTTAAACATTAATTAATAAGCACATAATACCTAGAAGAGGAACAATCTGTCTCAAGATTTTTGATTTTGGGAATGGACCAACATTGGAGAAACACACTCTTGTTGGTTTCGTGTGTGTTTTACTCTGATTCCTGGCAAAACACAGCAATATATTAACATAGATAAAGTGTGATATATGATCATAAACTAGTGTTATAAGTTATATAGTCCCTGAGCCGTGACTCTAAATAATTTGTTGCAATACCTCTTTAACAAAACAAAAAACACGTTTTACATATATACTAAAAATCAACTGTTGCAAACCTTAATCACGATCAACTGAAGAAGAAAAAAAAAAAAAAAACCTGGGAGCGAAGAATGAAAGCGAGACACGATCGGTGGAAGTCGCCAAACCCTGCATAATTTTTACTCGGGGTCAGGATCTTATTATTTTCAAACCTAAAAAGATTGAGTTGATCAGATATATAAAGGGAAACAAACCTCCAAAGACACAAGAGCGCAAGCCCATCAATGGTTTGTCCAAACTCAGAGCCCTAAACTATGGGCCGGTAAAAAATAGACGAAAGCCCAATAGAAACGCAACAAAGTTCGTGGGATGTGAGAACTGAGAAGAAATGGGATTTTATTAACAAAAATAATAAATCGAAATAAAAATTAACGGACGACATCGTATTGATAAATGGGGGCTGTTTGGTAGTACGTGTAATGTTGTTATAAAGACGAGTAGAGAAGAGGCGTAAGATAACAAGATGCGTAGGAGAAAGGAAAGGATTATTGTCACTTGCCTGCGCAAATTAGGGCTTCTCCTTCGCAAGACTCTGTTCGCCAGCTTAAAATCAGTAGTGTACTCTCTTTCTCTATCTCTTGCAACTTCTCTATTTCTATTCTCTTCACGCATTCATTTGTATCAGGACTTCCATTTTCTTAACGAAATTGGAATTCGAATCATGCGAGTTTTATTGAATACAGCGACTTTCAAATTATGAATAACCCATCTTGTAATTGCCATTGATCGGCATCCAAAGCTCGGAGAATTCGAATTGAGTTAGCTTCGAAATCTCCAAATTACATTAAAAATTCAATCTTTGAATGCTGAATCTTTCTAGCTTCGTACTCATGAGTTTAAAGTGGCATTGTGATTTCTTAAGTATCGTCAATTGGTTGCTTTCCACAATCATTTTTAAGCCTGTGAACATTATGTAGCACTTCATTGGAGATTATCTGGTTATTGTAGATAGTAATGTTACAGAGTCTCATAAGTGCTCTTGTTATGTGCTTGTCAGGCAAAGTGCTGAATATACCTTAGGAGCTAAATGTCGGATGATCCTGGACAGATGTTGCTCATCTATGATGATCCTTCAGATCAGCGATCCTTGTCTTTAGATGATGCTAGTAGTACTGAGGAATCTCCAGACGATAACAATCTCTCTTTAGAAGCACTTCACAATGCCATTCCATATCTCGGACAAATTTTCCTTACACATGATGCTGCTTACGAGTTCTATAGTACATTTGCAAAGCGTTGCGGGTTCTCCATACGTCGTCACAGGACAGAAGGAAAGGATGGAGTTGGCAAAGGACTTACTAGGCGCTACTTTGTTTGTCACCGTGCTGGCAACACACCTATCAAAACTCTAAGTGAAGGAAAACCACAGAGAAACAGAAGGTCTTCTCGATGCGGATGTCAAGCATACTTGAGGATTAGTAAACTTACTGAGTTAGGCTCAACGGAATGGCGTGTTACGGGTTTTGCTAATCACCACAATCATGAACTCCTCGAACCAAATCAAGTTCGCTTTCTTCCTGCATACAGGTCCATATCAGATGCAGATAAAAGTCGGATTTTGATGTTTTCCAAGACAGGAATTTCAGTTCAGCAGATGATGAGGCTCTTGGAGCTTGAGAAGTGTGTCGAGCCAGGATTTTTACCATTCACCGAAAAGGATGTCAGGAATTTGCTTCAGTCATTCAAGAAACTTGATCCTGAGGATGAGAACATTGATTTCCTTAGGATGTGCCAAAGCATAAAGGAGAAAGACCCTAACTTTAAGTTCGAGTTTACCTTGGATGCAAATGATAAGTTAGAAAATATTGCCTGGTCATATGCTTCTTCCATTCAGTCATATGAAATCTTTGGAGATGCTGTAGTTTTCGATACAACACATCGCTTAAGTGCAGTTGAGATGCCACTTGGAATATGGGTTGGAGTTAATAACTACGGTGTGCCTTGCTTCTTCGGTTGTGTGCTTCTACGGGATGAAAATTTGAGATCGTGGTCATGGGCACTACAGGTAACAATATTGGCACACTAAGCTGCTAAAGTTCCTTTTCCACTTATTTCTGTTTAAGATTCTTGGCAATTGTCTGTGGGTATGGCGAATAAGCAAATCAAAGTTTATTTGTTGTATAAGTTATTTGTAGAAGTTCCTATATCCAAAAAGAATCAATTTTGTTTCTACTCTTGACATTTTTTAATTTGTCTTATATGGAAGGCATTCACGGGGTTCATGAATGGGAAGGCACCTCAAACGATATTAACAGACCATAATATGTGTCTCAAAGAAGCCATAGCTGGAGAGATGCCAGCCACTAAGCATGCACTCTGCATATGGATGGTTGTTGGAAAGTTTCCATCCTGGTTTAATGCCGGTCTTGGCGAGCGGTACAACGACTGGAAAGCTGAATTCTATCGCCTCTACCATCTGGAATCCGTTGAGGAGTTCGAGTTGGGTTGGAGAGACATGGTGAACTCTTTTGGACTGCACACAAACAGACACATAAACAACTTGTATGCCTCACGTTCCTTGTGGTCTTTACCATACCTGAGAAGCCATTTTCTAGCTGGAATGACTTTGACGGGCCGATCCAAAGCCATTAACGCCTTTATTCAGAGGTTCTTAAGCGCACAAACTCGGCTAGCTCACTTTGTAGAACAGGTATGTTTCTTCTTCTTCTGATAGTGAAGTGAGCTATTTCAAGCTCTTAGGCCTTCTATACATTAATTGTTCAAGCATTTATTTTACAGGATATGCATTTTTATCTGATGAAATGGTACTATACGTGTGTTGAGTTTGCTATGTTTGCTTATTTGAGTTATGGTGAATATGCAGGTGGCTGTTGCTGTGGATTTCAAAGACCAAGCTACAGAACAGCAGACAATGCAGCAGAATCTCCAAAACATCAGCCTAAAAACAGGGGCCCCCATGGAATCTCACGCAGCCTCGGTCCTCACTCCATTCGCATTCTCCAAGCTCCAAGAACAGCTTGTGCTTGCAGCTCACTACGCATCGTTCCAGATGGATGACGGGTATCTCGTGAGGCACCACACAAAACTCGATGGAGGAAGAAAAGTGTATTGGGTTCCTCAAGAAGGCATCATAAGCTGCAGTTGCCAACTGTTTGAGTTCTCTGGGTTTCTCTGCAGGCACGCACTCCGTGTTCTCTCTACGGGAAACTGTTTTCAGGTCCCCGATAGGTATCTTCCTCTTAGGTGGCGCAGGATCAGTACGTCGTTTAGCAAGACGTTCAGAAGTAACGCTGAGGATCATGGAGAGAGAGTTCAGCTTCTGCAGAATCTGGTTTCGACTCTGGTATCCGAAGCGGCTAAATCGAAGGAGAGGCTAGATATTGCAACTGAGCAAACCTCCATCCTCTTATCCCGCATCAGAGAGCAGCCTGTCTCTTCACTTGCTCTCCGAGACATTTCTTCTTCTGTGCCGAGGAATTTTTGATACCGCAATGTTATGCGTGTCTAACTATTTTTAGTTAACATAACTACTTTATTAACCTAATCTTACAAGATTGTAACTCTTATCTTAAATTATGCAGTGTTCGAAAAAACAATCCTTATATTCGTTGACAAAAAAGAGAAAGATAAGTCAACCTTAAATTCGTCTTGTTCGACTAAAGATTTGTTTATATGTTAATGCGTAGGCCACGCATATCACAAAAACAGTATAACAGTATTTGTTCTTTTTTTAATTACTCTCCTGGTCCAAGTTATGATCTGTAGAAGATAATAAAAATTGATCTGTCCAAAAAAAAAAAAAAAGATAATACAATTAGGGGTGTCAAAATGGGTTAATACCCATGGGTTACCCGAACCCGCCCATGATTTTAGTGGGTTTGGGTAGAATTTTTTTACCCATATATATAAATGGGTTTTAGTGGGTTACCCTATTAGGGTTATGGGTTTAATGGGTAAAACCCATTAGGGTCATGGGTTACCCATGGGTTTCATAACCAAAACTAAAAAGTAAAATTTATATATATCTATATTAATATATTATGTAAAATTTATATAAATATATGTAAAATATCTTCTTTTCTTTACAACTATATATGTAAAATATCTAAAATAACTATTAAAGTTTACATTTTACCTTAAAATAAAAGTAAAAAGTAAAATATATGTATAATATCTAGATTTTTTTAATTTATTATTTAAAAACTTTTGTTGGTTTACAATTTTATGTTATTTTTTTAGATTTTTATTATTTATATATTTTATTATACATATATATGGGTACCCATATAACCCATTAAGCCAATGGATTTCTACAATAATGGGTTTGGGTATGTAAATTCAACCCATATAAATATATGGGTCGGGTCAAACCCGTCCATTAAACACTCGAACCCATATGGGTTTGGGTCGGGTCGGGTCGGGTTACCCATTTTGACACCCCTAAATACAATTGATTTGTGCAATCTTTTCAAATGGGCAGATGATTTTCACAAAGCCCAAATCGTTACCAACACGTCAACATCATCTGAACGAACGAGTGAGTGTATACTACTGTCTACACACACACCCAAACGCGTGAAGATAAAACGACAGCAGAGATGGACGCAGAGAGTGGGTTCTCTCGATTTTCAGCAGAAAGACCATGACCAAGAGCTCTGTCTGACACGTGTCGACCAATCATTTGCCAATATTAGAAATTCCAGAACTTTCTGGAGAGAACTACAATAAATACCCGGTTTATATAATTGATTCAGCAGCGGTTTGTAGGAAACCGGTTCTAGTATTAACCGAAAAGAAGAACAAAAGAAAGAGCACTGATCTTTAAGATTAGGGTTTTGAACAGGATCGAGAATCGAATCAGAACGCTAATAGAGCAAGAACAACATTGGTCAATCAATCTCTTAGTACTAAACAAAGAACATTACTTGAGACCAAGTCGATAACGAAAAGATGAAACCATTCACGAAATCTAAAAGGAGGAAAAAAAAAAAAAAAAAACCCTAAAATTCTGCAATTTCGAAACGAAATCTAAAAAAAGGTTAAATCAACCATTAAAAGTCCAAGCGTTCTCCTTACGAATCGCTTCTTCTTCTTCAGGTGTGAAATCGTTCTCGATGTTGAAGATCTCTCGAACTTCCTCCGGAGTTTTGTCCTTGATGTAATCAGCAACCGTCTGGCTAGCGAAACCGAGAAGTCCTTCGAAGTTTAGGTAGTTGGCAGCGAGAATGATTTTGAAGATCGTTTCCAGATCTAGCTTTTCCACGAACTTAGCGTCCCACGAATCCAGCTTCTTCTTCGCCTCCTCGTCTTCGTCTTCATCAGGTTCATCGACGTGCTTCTTCGCGTACTCGATTATCTTAGAGAGGATATCTCCGGTGACGTTGTCAATCGGAATTGCTTTGCCGGCACAGTCATCTTCGATCATGTTCGCTATGATCTGAAACTTACGCGCCACCGCTTCGTCGATCTCGAATGACTCGCCATCGGAACTCGTCAACAAAATCTTGTTAGAAGACATGGTTAGACTCGCCACCGCTTCCTCGATCTCGGAAGATTTGCCGTCGGAGCTCTTTTTCGAAGAAGACATTGTTAAGATGAAAAAAAGTGGAATCCTTAAAAACCCTCACAAGTCGGTCACTTTAATCCCTTTAGTAGGGGAGAAAAGGGAATTAAATGGATCAGGATAATGGGCCTAAAGATTTCATAAAGCCCAAAAAAATAAACGGCTGTACAGTCAACAAAGTCCCACTCATCTGATTCGGGAGAGAAATTAAAATTTGTTGAACCAAAATGGGATCATATTGATTCGGAACCGGTTTGTAGAAAACCGATCATAGTAAAAATATCTTCGTTTTCAAAGAAACGTAACTAAACATATAATACTTGTCTTTTGCCAAGATCATATAATGTCAAAAATATGTGATCTGATCAATTTATCACATTAATTGTATATATTTTAAAAATTCCAGTCCAAAACATTTAATATACTCATTTAGTAAGGAAATGGGCCTCACGATTTCAAAAAGCCCATTCAAACCTTTGCGGCTTTACTCAATAAGTCCAAATTCAACACGTGTGTGTGGACGTACTAGTGCAAGCTGTTTATGGAGGGATTCTAGAACATTCGGGAGAAAAAATTGAAATTTGCTGAACCAATCCTAGGGTTAATTGGTTTTGGAAACCGGTTTGTAGAAAACCGATCCTAGTAAAAAGACAAACAAAATGGCGTCTTCTTGGACTGATGAACAATCAAAAGGTTTTTCACATTAGGGTTTTAACATAAACCGAGAATCGAATCAAACGCAAGACTAACCATTTTCATATCATGTTATGCGTATTAATAAATTTCAAGTAAATCATATAAATGGTGTTCTTATACTGCTTTATTGAAAACGAAGACGTCATCAAACTCAAATCAAATCTCTAAAAAGAAACATAAATCCATAGATTCGTTACATGAATAATAAAACTGAAATTACTCAACTAGCAAACATGCCAATCTCAGATTTTATTTTGAGAAAAACCCTAACTCATCCGGGATTGACTCAGTTGTTGAAGATAGCAGCGAAGGCAATGACAACGGATGCAAGTCCACAGAGAATAGAGATAAAGTCGAAAACGAAAGATGTAGGATTCTTAGCTCGAGCAAACCCGTGTGCGATCTGAAACACAACGTAGCCCACGGAGGCGTAGGCGAGAGCATTGGAAAAGGGTTTGCTTGGGTCTTTCTCGTACTTACTCAACTTGTCGTGGAGGAAGAAGGAAAGCATGCCCATTATCGCAGTCCTTGGGATATGCTCGAAGAACCTCTTGAACGCCTCTTGGTTTCTTTTGCATTGCTCTTCCTCTTCGTTCCTGTTCATTCTCGATCAACTGGGGATTACAAACAAAACGTCTGGAAACAGAAGGAAAAAATGTTTCAGTTAATCGGAAAGAAACGAAATGAAAAACAAAAATCAAGATGTGCATGATTTTAGAGACAGAGAAGAAGAAGAGACAAGTTACCGGAGGTGAGAGAAGTGTGCAATGAAGCTGAACGAGTGAGAAAGCAAGCGACTTTCACTAGTATATATAAATTGATGTGAACAAAAGAACAAAAACAAAATTTGCCACGTAATTGAAACCAGCTGGGTTTTTTTTGTATTTGTTACCAAAGGATAATAACCGATTTCCTTTTTTATGCTTTACCGTGCGAATCAGCCTCTCTCTCTCTCGTACTGTCACACATACATTATTCATTTTTTGGTCTTTCGTTCAAAATATAAGCTGCTTTTTATTCAAAAATCTTTGATTATATATATCGTTATTAGTTGGACACACAACCATTAATTAACGAATTTTTAAAAATTCATGCCTAATTAAAACACACTAAACTGCATTTTCCAAATTTTATGATGAAATCATGATTTCCGTGAAGCATATGATTGATAGAGTTAATTTACTCGTAATACAATTGTGTATGCATGCATGCGGTTTAAGCTTGTTAAACGAAATGCAGATCAATCAACCATTACCATATTCTGTCGTTTAGCTTACGAAATTTCATCAAACTTTTTTTTGGCTTCTCTCATAATAACGGTGTTAATTCTGTCTTGCTTTCCATAACGAGATCATCAAAATCCATACCAAATCTCTAAAAAGAAACACATAAATAACATAATCCATAGACACATTACAAACAACAAAAAACTGAAATTACTCAAAGTAGGGGAAACACATATCACAGATTTGTTCTTATTTCGAAATAAACCCCATAACTCGGTTTTGACTCAGTACCTTTAGTTGAAGAAGATAATGCAGAAGATACCTACGAGCGCAATGAAGATGACTGCGACACCACAGAAGATAGAGATGTAGTCGAAAACCGCAGATCTAGGGTTCTTAACCTGAGCAAACGCGTCCGCGAGCTGAAACACGACGTAACCGACGGAGAAGAAAGCAACGGCGGCTGAAAATGGCTTGTTTGGGTCTTTCTCGAAACCTCTCAAGCTTGTGTGGAGAAAAGAGAAACTGAAGCATGCCATCCCAATCCTGCCAAGTTGTTTGACCAATCTTTCTTTTGCCTCATTGTTCATCTTTGAAATCTCGAAACGAACTAAAACCAAATAAATCAATTTAAGAAACCACAAATAATAATCAAGAGACATGGAGAGACGAGAGGCATTTACCGGCGGTGAAAAAAGACTTGCAACAAACCTCAACAGAGAAAACCAGTGACTGCAGTCGTATATATATGTGGGTTAATTTGTATATTAATTGATGATATTTAGTCGACAAATAAATTTTATTTAGAATTTGCCACGTAATTAATTAAAAACCAGCTGGCTCTGGCTCTTTTTATCAATGGACTATTAACCGTTTTGGTATGAATCAGCCTTTCTCAAAAACACACACATTTATTATATGCTCTCTTTGGATAAATCATTCTATATTGATACATTATACAATTGTATGAAAAAAGGACGCCATTTACTTGTATAGTTGTATTGAAACTTTGAAAGAAAAAAAAACGTTTGAAGAGTAAAATTATGTCAGTCTTTTGATGTTCTCCTTCTATCCTTTGGGCCGGGTTTGAACGGTTCATTTCAATTATCAAAAAATACCGAATAAAAAAAACAATACAGAAACAAATTCAAATCCGCGGACAAAAATTTAATTTATACATACATGTAGTTTCTCTTAAAAATTGAACCATGTCAAAATAGTCAAAATTACATTTAGTTATATATTCTGACTAAACCAAAACCATCCCAATTGACTTTGGTAAGTTTCTCTCAAACCGGCCTAGCCACACTAGTTCCAAACTCCACACTAAACCGAATGATTGACCTGAGTTGGTGAATCATCAATTTCCAAACTCTTGAATACTACTATTTTAAAATTTCAATCTAAAACTACATGTATTGTCCAGGCGTATCGTGCTAGCTAATTCCTTAAAAGAAAACTAAACGTGAGTGTATGTATAATTAAACAAAGAAATAGTACAGGTTGTCCAAACAACAATAAATCAAAACTCCGAAGTAAAAAATTTCCATTTACAGATCATCAATTAGACGAAAGTTGTACACAAATGAATCAAGAAACACTGAACCACGACCAACAAAATCATCAGTTTGAATAGTTTACATTTCACTAGCATTAGAGAAACGAGAAAAAAGAAGAAGAATTTACGTATCTTTCTGTCTCAAAATTAACAACTATGGACAAAACAGAGAAGAAAGAACGAAAGTATCCAAGGAAAATGTTAGATGAAACGAATAAAATAAAGTCACAAAAAAAAAAAAAATTGATTTTCGTCACCGGGTTTTACTTTTATCAGGAGCAGCTCTGTTTTCGATATTTAGTTTCTTCTTCTTCTTTGTCTCGTAAGCTGATCCTCTGTTTCTGCTCTGTTCCTTGATCACTGGAACCAAGTACCAAACGATACAAGTGCACATGACCGAGACGGTCCGTCCGAAAAACATCAAGAATATTAGAACCAACACTACTGTCACGGGCAATAAATGGTTTGGTCTCGAAATCTTCTTCAGATTCTCGTTCAATACACAGCTCTGTTTCTGCTCTGTTTCCAAATCTGCTTTCTTTATTTCTATTTCATGCTCGGTTTTTGATTCGGTCTTGACCTTGAAATCATCTAGAACATCCTTCTTCTTGACCTTGAAATCATCTTGAACATCCTTCTTCTGACCTGCCTTCTTTGTCTTAATCATGACAGGGACGCACTCGCCGGAGCTAGTAAAGACAAACCGAACCAGAGGCGGTCCATCAGGATCAAGCCTCTTTGCGTAAATGCTCTGTCTTTTCTCATCGAGCTCAGATAGAAGTGCAGAGAACTTGTCAAGTCCTTGATTTGAATAAGGGTTCTTGCTTTCTTTGCTTCCTCTTCTCGATCTCCTCGGTGACGAAAACGGACTCAACATTTCAATTCAATTCGGTCCCAACACCAAGATCCTCTGTTTTTTTTTTCTTACTTGTCCTTTTTGTGTGGAGAGGTTGTGAGAATTTGAGATCTTGGAGGAATTTGGTTATGAAGGAGTTGTTAGGCAGGATTTAGTATTTGGACAAGAGAGACGGCTTTATTGTTATCATAATGAGACTTGTCTTAAACTAATTGTAAATATTCAGATAAACAAATGGATTGGTGATTTGACCAGATGTCATTAAATGTGATAAATTGATCAGATCACGTATTTTTGACACTTTTTTTGTTCTCTTGGGACGAATAGAAGATAAGTTTCTACCAAATGAAACGTCATCCCCGATGTATTTTGCTGATCTTACTGATTGACTTTCTTGCGGGAGAAGCTAGAATTTTTTTCCATGATGGTGTAATCATTTTTTTTGGTTTATCATAAGTAATTGACTAATTGTTAATTTATCTTAGTTTTGACTTAGACCAAAGTGATTCAACCATAACCATCTAGTTGGAATATTCATTGTAAATTTAAATTTCTGATGGGTTGACAAAATTTGGATTTAAATCCTCCAAGTTATTTTTATACAATGAAAAGAAAAAGAGTTATGAGAAGGAAAGTTGGTATAGAAGAAAAAGCTTTTAGCCTGTAAGGCTTTAAGTCTTTAACCAATAGAAGCAACATATCATGTGTTGACAAAAAATGAAGCATATCATGTGATAAATGAATGAGGAGGGTACTAACTAATACTACTCACCAAATCATCTTATAGAACTTCATTAAGAAATTGAAAGAAAAACAATACTTGTTTTGTTACGATTTGAAAATTTAGGTTCGATGCAAAGGCCTACCTCTTATATGAATCTGGAGGCCTGTGATCACGGTGTGATGATAAATTTTCATATAAAAATGCTTAATTGTTGATATTGTTAGATTTAAACTATATGAGACTACAATTATATGAAAACTTGATTTATCAAAACCCTTGGATTGCATGAGAGGGTTAAAAGTTCTACAAGAACGCAACAAACAAACAGAGAAACACAGCTCTCTCTATGTACATACATATGTTACAGAGACACTTAAAGCTTGTAATTAAAAAACACACAGCTTCCATGGCATCACTACTCGCTTAAACTACAAGTTTATTCTTCATCTTATTTTTTCAAGACTCTATAGACAATATGATGACAATCAGACATAAGTAGAAGAAGATTTCTGTAAATTACCCGTACAAGACTTGAGCTCAGAGCTCGGTGTTTAAGGTTGAAGCCTGTGGATGATAATGAAGCATCTCATTCCACATCATTTCTCTTATCATCTCCTCTCTCAAATCCTCATCTACATCGAGATCGATGGGAACTTGAGCCGGAGGGTTTGCATTCGGGTCATAAAGAGGTGCCATGTATGGATGCTGGAGCGCTTCAGTGACACTAATCCTCTTAGATGGGTCAAAAACAAGCATTTTCTGAAGAAGGTCGATGGCCAACACATGAGCGCCCGGGTAAAGCCTGGATAAAGACATCCCGGGTGAGTACGGAAGTGATCTAATGAATCTTTTAGCTTTCGGGTTATCTATGAACTCAAGATCTTCTTCTCTTTGGCTTCCGAGAATGTTGACAATGAGTTTAAGCTGGTTAAGACATTCCGTTCCTTGGAATATCGGTTTCCTACCAAGAAGCTCAGCAAAAATGCAACCAACGGACCAAACATCAATGGATGTTCCATAGTTGTCACAACATAGGAGAAGCTCGGGAGCTCGGTACCAACGAGTCACAACATATTCAGTCATGAACTGACCCTTGGTGTTGCTCGCACGCGCAAGCCCAAAATCGCATATTTTCAAATCGCAGTTTGCATTGACAAGAAGGTTACCGGGTTTCAAATCTCGGTGCAGGATGTTGGCTGAATGAATATACTTGAGCCCTCGAAGCAACTAAACACAAGAACAAAGCAAAGCAAAATTTAAAGAGAAAGCAAAATCTATACAAAGCTAGAACCAACAACAGATGAGTCATGAATGTGATCAATCACATACCTGGAACAAGAAGTATTGGCAGTGATCGTTACTTAGAACTTGAGAAGACTTGATAATCTGGTGGAGATCAGTGTCCATTAGCTCATAAACAAGATACACATCTTTGAAGCTCCTCTTATGAATTGGCATCATGACATCTTTCAAAGCAATGACATTCTCATGTCGAAGATGGCGTAGAAGCTTGAGCTCCCGGAGAGTCCTCAACGCATCGATCCTATTCTCATAAACATTGTGAATCTTCTTGATAGCGACTTTCTCGTTGGTATCAGTGTTAACAGAGGAGCAGACAACACCGTAAGCTCCACGACCAATCGGCTTGATTGGCATGTATTTAGTGTCGATCTCGAACAGAGTTTGCCACATTGAGAAGTAATGCTTCCCTTCGATTCTAATCCCATTAGGAGGATCAACCAGAGTCGCCATTATTTTCCTTCTTCATCACAATACACAATAAAAAAATTAATCAAATTGACACACACACAATTATCAAATTATTCCACCACTATTTATCAACACTTCTTAATTATTCAGTTTTCAAGTAATACCTCAAGAACACAAAATCTAAGGTACAATTTACGGGATAGCCCAAAATCAAGAATTTTTTGGTGTGTAAACAGATTGGTCTGTTAATAGTGAAAAGGAAAAGATCAAACTTTATCGATTTTGTGATGGAACATAAACGAGTGGAATTAGTGTGAAAAGAGTTTACCAGAGATAGCGGGAAGGAATTCTAACCGGTGATAAGAAGTCAGTGACCAACGATGATCGCCGGAGGTTAGATTTGGCCGGAGAGAGAAAGCTGTGAGGTTGGTTTTTCAGAAGGTGGAAGTGAGAGAGATTTGGTCAACGCTCGGACAGTTGACCTTCTACTTGTTCGTTACTTAGGTAGTCTTTCTTATAAGTTGGGCTTAATTGAGCCCAATTATATTGGCAAACAGATTCATGTCTCTATCATCTAAATCAGTTTCGGTAAGTATCTGTATTTTTTTTTGGTAAATTGATCACCAAACTAGCATCATTCGTTTCTGACATTTGTGAATATGTGTCCTACTTAATTTATAAAAATAGAAAATGAAGAAAAGTATTTTGAAGTAAAGTGTATATAAACAGTGACAAATGGACGTTTACAAATATATAAAGTTATTTTAAGGGTTTTTTTACTAACACCATTTTATTTTATATTCCATACTTTTCCAATGATACAGTTTTTGCTTTAACTTTACGTTTCCATCACCATCTTTTCATTTTCCTAGCATCTAGAGGAAAATGGGAGAAAAAAATAAAATAAAAAGATTTAAAAGTTTTCATTAAGTCAGATATAATATAAGAGAGGAGGCCCATGCAGATAGAAAGGGAAAGCCCATAAATCTAAGCAGTGGCAAAAATCTTAGAAACTGTATAAATGAGTAATGAATTGGTTTGGAGTCTATTTAGTAACAAATAAAATAACGTTAGGTATTTGATTGATTAAATAATAGATGTTAGGTATCATTATGATCACTCATTCTCTTCAACCAATTATGTCAATACTACAGCTCATCAAAAGCCTTTATGGTAAAGCATGTTTCAGATATTTTCATTATTCATATACACACTACTACACAACATATATATGTATTTTTTAAAAATAGTGTGTATTTATTTAGAGATTTCCAACTAATTCACCATAACCAATACAGCTTTTAATCATTATCTAAAACCAGACAAAGATTCTTTCCCAGTTGGTTTCCTCTGTTCTATTTTCTTACAAATAGTTATTTGACTATTGAGCATTTTCTTCACTGTTGAGAAAAAATGGTGTAAATGTTAAGCATTGTCAAGCAAGTCCATGCATTCTCTAACTAATTACCTGTTTTAGATATGATAAAACCACTGAATTAATGTCGAATATGTAAGCAAAATATCTAGGAGACAGATATTGACGGGTGTTGCTTACTTCTAGTTCGGGACAAAAATAATTAAGAGACACAAAAAATGCCGTTGAAACCTTTTTTTTGTAGTACAATTTTTAATTTTGTTGCTTGCTATCGTACAAATTACTTTTTTTTATTCATCGTTTATCTTGATTTGTGTATTAGACAATGACAAAAAACAATGCTAGAGTTGTCAGAAAAACTCAACATTCGAATTTGAATCCGAAATTTTATAGCTAATATACTTGCATACAAATTGTTAAGTTATAGTTGACGGATTTTTTTTTTTGTTAAGCTATAGTAACTTTTTATTTATAATGCAAACAGTTCCATCCATAACTTATCTTGAATTTTTGTTTGTCACATTTTATTAGAAAATTCAAAAATTTCCTACTTCTATCCTCCAAAAAGAATTTACTTTAAAAAATAAAAAGAAGAGAAGCATGTTCATTTTCAATATATCTGGTCCCCATATTAAAAAACAAGCAACAATAATTGACAATCTCTTTCATTTTCATCTTCATCTTATTCATCTTTATCTCTCTCTCAAAAACAATTGAGCTTCTTTTTTTCCTGAGTCTTTAGTCTGATCTCTTACAAGAACAACAAGAAATGGCGTTCGCAGGAACAACCCAGAAATGCATGGCCTGTGACAAAACCGTTTATCTTGTTGACAAGTTAACCGCCGATAACCGGGTCTACCACAAAGCTTGTTTCCGATGTCACCATTGCAAAGGAACTCTCAAGGTTTGTTCTTTGATTCTGGTTTCTTACTTCTTTGTGATGATTTCTGATAAATTCAGAAGTAGATCTATATAGATGAAGAGGACCAATCAATTAAGTAGAAATCTTTGAATTTTTGGAGATGAAAACTAATTGGTCTAAAGATTTGATTGTTCTGCTTCTTCTTGATGAGACAGCTTAGCAATTACAACTCCTTTGAAGGAGTTCTCTATTGCAGACCACATTTCGATCAAAACTTCAAGAGAACTGGAAGTCTTGAGAAAAGCTTCGAAGGTAAAAAAGACCAAAAACAGATCAAAAATGTGAAAGCTTTGTGAGTGGGGATTTCAAATTTGGAAATATGAATCTAAAGTTTGATTCATATATATGTATAGGGACACCAAAGATTGGAAAACCTGATAGGCCTTTGGAGGGAGAGGTAATTTCAGACAGCAAAACAAAACCTTTTATCTGTTCTTGATTCTGTTTTTGAGGTTCTTGAATTTTTAACATTTGATCTGAGAGATCTTTAACAGAGACCTGCTGGAACCAAAGTGTCGAATATGTTTGGTGGAACACGAGAGAAATGCGTTGGCTGCGACAAAACCGTGTATCCAATCGAGAAGGTATCCAATCTAAAACCTTCCCAAATCAGAATCAAGTTGTGTCAAAGAAGATTCTTAGATTGTCTCCATAACAAATCTGATCTGTTTTTGGCTTAAACCAGAGCTGAAACCTTCTAATTTATTGCAAACATTGGACTTTGATATTGCTACATGGTTCCATAACTTGTGACTGCATATTATGTGGACTTCGTGCAGGTGTCTGTGAATGGGACATTGTACCACAAGAGCTGCTTCAAGTGTACACATGGAGGTTGCACGATAAGCCCGTCGAATTACATAGCTCACGAGGGTAAGCTATATTGCAAGCATCATCATATTCAGCTGATCAAGGAGAAAGGAAACTTAAGCCAGCTCGAAGGAGGAGGAGAGAATGCCGCTAAGGACAAAGTCGTCGCTGCTTAAAGAAACAATTCAATCTCTCTGGATGATTTTGATAATGGAAGAATCAAAAGAGTCACTACTTCTCGATCGATAACATATATTGGTTTTTCTTCTTCTTACGTTTGTGTTTTTCTTTTTGGTCTTTGATATGTTGTTGTTTTTTGGATCTTTGTTCACTCTTTTATTGGGTTTCTTGAGATGAAACAAGATAAATTGAGAAATAATGGATGTTTGCTTATGAGAGATATATGTATTACGTGCAAATAACAAATGATATAATTTATTTCGTGAAGAGTAGACTACTCTGAGTAGTAAGCTTCAGCTAAATGATCGATTCCATTGCTATCATTAGAACAGAGACATCAGCCATGACCCATGAGATGCTTGCAATAAGTTCAAATTAAGCCCACTAACAAATTAAGACCACTCTTTCCACAAGGGCCGTCCCATCTCATGGACGTTATAATACAAGTTTTAAGTAAATTGTTTTTATATGTAAGTTTTAGTGTCATAAGTTCAACATTTTTTTACTTATTTTAAATTTAACACTTAAGTGTACTGAACCCTTTTCGAAGATGAGAATATGTATGGAGACTCACTCTGACTACTATCAGCCGTGTATCGCAATGAGGAAATCTGCCGAAGAACTGTTTGGGAGGAACCTTGATGCCATCTTCCTCGCTAAAGATCCAAAGGAAGGAGATAAGTTGTTGTTTGAGTTCATGAGAGGAGGTGCTTGTAAAGAATCATTTATGTCTTTTAGACGTCGTAGTGTAGAAAATACGAAGAACAATAACCCACTCACTCTCCATAAGCAATATGAAGCCTTTGAGACATTGTGCAAGTGTATGAAGGCTCACTCTAATTACTATCAGCCGTATCTCGCGGCAATGAAAACAAGTGAAGAATATTATTTTAAGGAGTTTGACGCCTTCTTGGCTGCGAGGAACCTGTAGAAAAGGTATATTAATTAGAAGATCTATAACATTAAGACAAATCTCAAAATTATATATTCACAATATTCTCACTAATGTAAAATAGAAAGACGAAAGCTATTTTATAAATTGTATAAGTGGTAATCATTAATCAAATCAGTTGATAATGATGTCTTAAAATAGAAAGACGAAAGCTATTTTATAAATTGTATTTGAAACTACGTTTCCTAAACCGGTCATAACAACAAACCGGATTATCTAGTTTACGATAAGAACAATAACAAACAAAGCTTGGGGAAGAAAGCTTATTGGGTTTTTTTTTGTCTTTTATCGCTGGTGAGTAAGGAAGAAGACGATGATGTTGCAGAGAAAATGATTGTCACTCCCCTATTTAATGAAGAAGAGAGAGCCCTCGAAATGTAGAGAAACGTGGTAAGAACAGCAACAACAAACAAAGCTTGGGCTTACTGTTTTTTTTTTTGTCTTTTCTCGACTGGAGGAAGACGATGATGTTGTAGTTTCTCTGAGTGTCACTCCCCTATTTAATGAAGAAGAGAGAGCCCTCGAAATGTAGAGAAACGTGGTTTCAAATACAATTTATAAAATAGCTTCCGTCTTTCTATTTTAAGACATAGATTTGATTAACTGATTTGATTTCAAACGTGGTTTCAACTGATTTGATTAATTAATTATATCACACTGCCATGAGATCACCATAGCTACGCATCAAGAAGACTCCTTCTGCAAACATGTCGCCTCTGCCCAAGTTGTTAGCTCTGGTAATGTACGTATGACTTATATATGTTGATAATATTTCAAAGAAGGTAATACGCCTTTCTCATTTAATTTTTATCTTTAAGCTCGATGAAATAATAATCATGACACATGTATCTTTTTGCTCATAAACAGGTTTCACTCGCCAATGATTTTGTGTACAATTGTTTTTCAAGAGATGTTAAATCTAGTGTTAGGTATGACTGCGACATTTCTGGACAGGTAATATTGCTAATTTTTAAGATTTTAGTGGAATTGAAAACAATGTCTTTGTAAATCCGTTTTAATTCTAATATTATGAGCTTTTGTTTCAGTTAAGTGTCCAGGGAAAGATTGATTCTAACGGTGTTGCATATGCACGTCTTGGAAAAAAATTAAATATGGGACTCGAGTGTCGTCTATGTGCAATTTTGGATCATAAGAACCATGATTACATGCTTGGTTTAGGCTTATCATATGGCTCAACACCCTCTGCAAATCCTTGCCTTTCAAGCTAAGTTTCCAAAGCTTAATTATCTTACTTTTTCTTTCCTAATTTGTAATTATAAGTTACAACAATTGATATCATTGTGGTGTAGTATACACAAATTAAATGGTAGTCCTTGGTTCGTTTTGTAAGGCAATGTAGTTTTGATGGCAAACACTGTATCCACCCTCAAACATTGGAGCATGTAAACCTTTTTGAGTTTGGGCGTTGCAATATTTCTGCATGCATAGGTCTCAAAATTAGAATGTCGGATATTTAAAGGAATACGAATAATATAAAATAATGTTTACGCAATGAAGTATTAAAAGTGGACGTGCCGGAGTGGTTATCGGGCATGACTAGAAATCATGTGGGCTCTGCCCGCGCAGGTTCGAATCCTGCCGTTCACGCTCTTTTTTGTTCTATTTTTTTTAATTATTATTTTACTGTTTGTTACCTCTACTATTGGCCCACTTTCGACTTCAATTCACTTTTTAGGATACTATTTTCCGACGGAAAAATGCATATTTTCTTACACATCAAGAGGCTATACATATAATCGTTTGTGCATTCTTTATTTTTGAAATCGTTTGTTATCGACTTATTTATGAATTGTTTGTAATCGCTTCGCCTATCTTAATATATTTAGACAAATGCGTACAGATGCATCATATTATACATGTGTGATGTCAGAGAGGGGTTAATAACTTGTATTCATTCTATAAACAATTTGAATTTTGCAAAACATCATACTTGATTTCGGTTAGAATGTTTTGCGTTTGATATATAATTAGCTACGTACACGACAAATGATATTATTATCTTAATTCATAAATTAGAAGGTTATATATATAGCCAAGCAATTCCTATGATGATGTTATCCTTCCAACTATATATTAATCGAAACTTAGGTGATTATACATACATCAAATCATATTTTATGAAATTTTATTTTATATATACACACCACTGTATATATATCTAAACTGAATATGCAATTTCCAATAACACAACCTCCATTTTTAAGGAAGCTAAACAAAAAAATACCACACAAAGAGTCTTTATACACATAGTAACGATTTATGCTTAGTCCAAGAAATTATGAGTTTGATCAAACTTCTAAAGCCAAAGTTCCTTTTTCATGGGAGTTGAAGCCTGGAGTTTCAAGAAAGCACAACAAAGCTGAAGATCAGCTACAATGGAATCTTACGCCGCCTCCATGTCCTCATGTAATGTATAGTGAGGAAGTGTTGCACAGTCCTCTTGTTGTTTGTCCTTTCACGCCTTCTAATATGGTTAGGACTTCGAGATCCAATTTTTCAAGTTTCAGGAAGAGAGAAGACGACCCTTTTCTTGAAGCTTATAGAAAATGTTTGGAGCGTAGCCCGCTTCGTATCTCTTCTTTGGGAAGAAACGTTCGAGATGATCAAGCTTGTTACGCGAAGAACAAGAAAAAGTCTTTTCTTTTATGGCTATGGAGTACGTACTCTTGCAAACTTGGTACTGATGGCTGGAGTACAGTATCCCGATTCCTTAAACCTAAATCTAATAAGAGAATCAATTCCACCGAGTAAAAGCGTATATTTGATCTTTTAGTTGTGGAAGTTTCATCAAAATCATGATTGTTAAAGGCAATAATATATAAGTCAAATTTTGATGTGGGATTTAATCAATGTTCAACAAATGATATACTACACGTTTGTTGTATAAAGATATGTTTGATACAATTATGTTGTTCAGTGAAATATAATTCATTCAAGTACCATCCTCATATCTAAAGAATCAAGTATTCCTCACGATATAATGTTAGAGTAGAGCGTACCTAATTACGAAGAAAAAAAGAGACAATGTTTTTTTTTTTTTTTTTTTTTTTTTTTGCTAAATTGTAAATATTTCATAGAAAATGAAAATAGTTTAGGTTACAAACATAGATTTGAAACCTATGCATATGAATCCATGGCAAAAATAATAAAAACATGGAAACATAATATACGGTTAATTAAAACCAAGTTTTCGGTCCATCTTCTCAACCCCGTAAATAAAGCAATGAAGCAATGGGAAAAGATGAAGCGATTACGTTCTGATCTGTCCTTCCCGATTGAAAATGCAAAGTAGAAGGGCTTTTGCTTAAAGTGAAAAACCTTAAAGAGACGGACCAAGAGCTTCAGAAGCCTTTCGCAGGAGACCCGAGACCGAGCCGCCAACGATTTGAACACTCCAAATCTACGATCACTTACTCTCCCTGCTTCAAATGAGATCAAATCTACGATCACTTACTCTCTCTGCTTCAAAAGAGACAATGTTAGTTAGACCCTTTGCATTTAATGAATTGGTCAAGCCTGAAGTCAATGAGAAATCTCCTTTTTCTAAATTGTGGTTAAACAAAATTTTGATTTATAGATTTTAGGAAATAGTTTAAGACTTCATAGATTTTTCTTTGGTACGAAAAAGGAAAAAAAAAAGCCAAAAAAAGAGAATTATTATGACAAAAACCATAAGAACCATTCTTACCAAAAAAAAAAAACATAAGAACCATCGTGCCGTCTTTAGCTTGATATATTACACTACATGCCGTTTTGTGTACAAAGAAAGCAATGTACAAAATCCCGACGAATGTGTGTCTGTCTCCTTGAGAGTAGAGAGAGTCCAAAGCATCACTATCGTGCTTCTTTCGGCAACCGTGTCTGAGACAGTGAGACTCCGAGGAAGACTGAAGGGGAATTAGATAGAGCGAGAGACATGGAGAGCAGCGAGGAAGACGACGAGTACCCATTTATCGAAAGCATCACTCCTCAGTCAAAGATCGATTCCGTTCACCAGTCTCTCACCGAAAAGGTCTCTCCTTTTTTCTTTTTTTTTGAATTGTTTCCTTCTCTGAACCGATTCATTGCACTCGGAGATAGTTTATCTCAAATGGGTTCTTTCGAATTGATCTGGATTAAGACTCAGTAGCCCTCGAATTTAACGTATTGGATTGAAACTAGTTGAACCTAAGATTGTTCATGATTACTTCTTCTGTTGGTCTATGGGTTTATGCTCGTTGATTTGGTAATGTTAAACAATGCAGGGAATTAGAAAGCTTTGCTGTGAGCTTATGGATTTAAAGGATGCTGTGGAAAATATGTGCGGTGATATGCGTACCAAGTACCTTGCTTTCTTAAGGTAATATAAATGCTACTAAGTTCTTTATGTTATTTAGTTTGCGAGTTTTGAATCTGCAATTCCGGATTCAGTGATATGAGCCTGCAAAAAATCTTGAGTGTTTGGTGTAAGGTTAAGTCTTGTTTCTTTGTATCAGTTGTGCTAGTTTCTGAGATTCATATCTGTATGTTTGGTTTGTGTAGAATATCTGAAGAAGCGGTGGAGATGGAGCACGAGTTGGTTGAGCTACGGAAACATATTTCTTCTCAGGGGATTCTTGTGCAGGATCTGATGGCTGGAGTTTGCCGTGAGATGGATGATTGGAATCGATCCCCTGGTGATGTACATGACGCTGAAGTCGAAGAGGACCCCTTGCCTAATGAAGTTACCGATCCAAAGTCTGAGTTCCTGGAGAAAATTGACCTTCTTTTGGCTGAACATAAAGTGGATGAAGCACTGGAGGTGATGGATGCTGAGGAAAGAAGCAGTCCAGATCTTAAAGGATCAGTCGAGATGTCTTCTTACAAGTCTGCGTTTATGGAAAGAAAGGCGGTTCTTGAGGATCAGCTCCTTAAGATAGCTAAGCAACCTTCGATTTGTGTAGCTGAATTGAAGCATGCATTGAATGGGTTGATCAGAATTGGAAAAGGACCCTCAGCTCACCAATTGCTTCTAAAGTTTTACGCCACAAGCCTCCGCAGAAGAATTGAGGCCTTTCTTCCTTCATGTTCCACTTGCCCAAACACTTTCCCCGCCACTCTTTCTAAGCTTGTTTTCTCTAACATCTCAGTGGCTGCAAAAGAATCAGCAGCGATGTTTGGTGATGATGATAATCCCGCATATTCCAACAAAGTTGTTCAATGGGCAGAGAGGGAAGTTGAATATTTGGTGCGGTTGGTTAAAGAAAACGCTTCTCCTTCTGAAACATCTTCTGCATTGCGTGCAGCCAGTATATGTCTTCAAGATTGTCTTAACTATTGCAAAGTGTTGGAACCACAAGGCTTATTTTTGTCTAAGCTATTTTTGGTGCTGTTCCGGCCTTATGTTGAAGAAGTGTTGGAGTTGAATTTTAGACGGGCTCGAAGGGTTATCTTTGACTTGACTGAAACTGATGAGGGCTTGGAATCATCCTCTGACTTTGTGATAATATTATCTGAATTCGCTATCGCTTCAGATACTATGATGACTGATTGTAGCATTCGATTCATGCTAATTGTGCAAGTAAGTTGATTTTGAACACTGATTTTACCATTTTCTTTGATTCCATACGCATAAATTTATAGAAGCTTTATTTGTTCTTTCAGGACATACTTGAGCAGTTAACACACCTAGTTGTGTTACACTTTGGTGAGAGTGTGTTAACGAGGATACTGCAACTATATGATAAATACATCGACTTTCTGATCAAAGCCTTGCCTGGCCATTCAGATGAGGATGGTCTCCCTGAGCTCCAAGATCATACCGTACTCGCTAGAGCTGAGACAGATTCCGAGCAGCTTGCTCTTCTTGGAGCGGCGTTTACAATACTTGACGAACTTTTACCAAGATCACTTGTTAAAGTCTGGAAACTCCAGATTGAAAATGGCGGAGGAGAAGGTGAGAGTAGTGCTGCTCTAAACAGTAGCGCTGCACCGGAACTGAAAGAATGGAAACGCCACATGGTTCAAGCATTTGACAAACTCAGAAACTACTTCTGTCTGCAGTTTGTCTTGAGCTTCATCTACTCTAGGGAAGGGCTAACGCGACTAGACGCACTCATTTATTTAACCGAAACACCAGATGACTTGCATCTGCCGTCTTTACCATTTCAGGTCTCGTCCTCTTCTTTGATCTAGTTTTATAGTTCCCAGTTTATAAGTTTTAGCACACAGAATAATCGGTGTCTCTTCTTATGCAGGCATTGTTTTCTAAGCTACAACAGTTGGCCATAATTGCGGGGGATGTTCTGCTTGGTAAAGAGAAGCTTCAAAAGATTCTACTAGCGAGATTAACTGAGACTGTTATAATCTGGCTATCAAACGAGCAGGAGTTTTGGAGTGCATTCGAGGACGAGTCAAATCCACTTCAGTCATCTGGGTTGCAACAGGTAGTAACACACTCTGTTTCACCACTCTTATAATATACCTCAGCTATTCCCGGATCTCAGGCTGAGCAGTCAAAGATTGAACCTTTGAAATGGGAAACAATGAAAATAATTGAAACTTGATGTTGAAGTTCATTTCATGAGAAGATTTGGGTTGAAAGTTGAAGTTTTTGTCACGTATTGCAGTTGATCCTCGACATGAACTTCACAGTGGAGATAGCCCGGTTCGCAGGTTATCCATTTAAAGTAGTTCAGAACCATGCATCAGTAGTGATCAACCGAGCCATCAATATATTCTCCGAAAGAGGCATCAACCCACAAAGGTAATCTCTGAATTCTCTTCCAACTCTGTCTCAACATAACGAATTAACTAAAAAGTCTATATTCTCTTTGACCAGCTCACTCCCGAAGACAGAGTGGTTCACAGAAGCCGCCAAGTCAGCTATCAACAGGCTACTCATGGGGTCTGAGGATGCTTCAGAACCGGAAGAGTATGAGTGTGAAGAAGAAGAAGAAGAAGAAGAAGACGATGATCACATCGTGCTCCCTGAGATGGATGAAGACTCAGATTCCGAAGATACATCTTCACTTTCGACAGTGGACTCGTTCGAGTCATTTGCTTCTGCAAGCATGGCTGACCTTGAGAGTCCCTCTTTCACCGATTCAGAGTCTTGACCACTTTGTTTGTAGTTTGTATCTTGTAGTCAGTCAGTCTCTCAAAACTCTCAAGTTAACATACAGTATAAATATATATAAAAACTTAACCGAAATCATCTGCAAATTAAATTTCCGGTTAAGATTGGTTAAAGTAAATTACTATAGGCCCAATTTTAGCCCATTAGAATGAGGCGGTTCATGAGGGTTTGTCAAGCATCCCTAAAATAATTGAGACAAGCCGGAGAAAAAGAGATGAATATAAATAAAAAAGAAAAGTCGTACGCGACTCTCTCCCTCTATCTCTTTATTTCCTTTGGGAGCAAGGCGGTCTATCACTTTCAGTCTCTATATATAATCTTCTTCATCGCTCCATTTTCTCCTACAGTCTCTTTCTCTCTCTCCCTGAGAAAACAAGGGACTAATCGGAATCTCCTGCGTATTTGATTCTTCCGGCGATTGTTTCGTTGTTTTTTCGCTTTCGTATATTATTGTCAGGTACCAATTTTTTTCCCCCTTTGGTTATGAGCTTCAAATTATTTGTTTTATCGTTCTTTGATTCAGCAATTTCGAAGCGAGACTATGTGTTGGTTTCCCAAATTTCTTAGATATGATAAAATAGGGCTTTTTAATTTTTGAGATCCCAAATAACGAGGAATAGTTGAGGATCTTGTAACCCGGGCGTTTTTTTTCGATTCCAGTAAAATTAATCGTAGATGATGAGCTATCAATCTTGGATTCGTTTGATTTGGCTTAGTTAATTTCAAATCGTTGTAGCTGTGCAAGTTATTGTTACATTAGATTGCTTTACTCGTTATTTCGTGTTTGGTGAATTATCTGGGCCATCAATGTTCGGCATTGCTAGAATCTGACTATTTTCTCATTTGCTTTGTACAGAAGAAGCACTTCCTGATCCCACAGTGACGGGTACAGGTTCTGGTTCTCTATTTGTGGAGTCAAGGAAGAATATGAGCTTTCAAGTCAGGAGAGATAGGGGCGATGATAGGTCTCGATTCAACCCTCAGCAAACGTGGATTCCTAGAAACGCATCTCCCTCCACCGTGGTGGTAAATGAGCCCTTGCTTCCTCCTCATTCAGATAGAAATTCTGAAAGCCTTGATGCTGCTGCTGCGGCATCCCGTCCTGTTTATCTGCAAAGGCAGCATAACGCTTCTGGTCCTCCTCCCTATAACCACCACCAAAGGAGTAATAACAACAGTGGTCCACCTCCACCTAATCGACATAGAAGAAATAATGCGCCTGATAACCAGCACCAAAGGAGTGATAACAACATTGGTTCACCTCCACCTAATCGACATAGAAGGAATAATGCTTCTGGAACTCTGCCGGATAATCGCCAAAGAGTTGCATCTAGGACACGGCCTGTGAATCAGGGGAAAAGGGTAGCTAAGGAGGAGAATATTGTGTCGACAGACCCAAACTTGCCTCAACTTGTTCAAGAGTTACAGGAGAAGCTGGTGAAGAGTTCTATTGAGTGTATGATTTGTTATGACAAGGTTGGTCGCTCTGCCAATATCTGGTCATGCTCCAGCTGTTATTCCATCTTCCATATCAACTGTATCAAGAGGTGGGCTCGAGCACCAACTTCAATTGATTTGCTAGCTGAGAAAAATCAAGGTGATAACTGGAGATGTCCAGGTTGCCAATCTGTACAGTTGACATCTTCTAAAGAGATTTGCTATCAGTGCTTTTGTGGAAAGAGAAGAGATCCACCGTCTGATCCTTATCTCACTCCACACTCATGTGGGGAACCATGCGGGAAACCGCTGGAGAAAGAGCTTGCAGCAGCTGGGACGACTAAAGAGGATCTTTGTCCTCATGCATGTGTGTTGCAGTGTCATCCTGGTCCATGTCCTCCCTGTAAGGCGTTTGCTCCACCTCGTAGCTGTCCTTGTGGTAAGAAGATGGTTACTACTAGATGCTCCGAGCGGAGATCTGATCTCATTTGTGGGCAGCGTTGCGATAAGCTTCTCAATTGCGGGCGTCATCAATGTGAAAGGGCATGTCATGTTGGCCCTTGTGATCCTTGTCAGGTACTTGTTAATGCCACATGTTTCTGCAAGAAAAAAGTGGAGACTGTCATTTGCGGTGATATGAATGTGAAGGGGGAATTGAAAGCAGAAGATGGTGTGTATTCGTGCAGTTTTAACTGTGGGAAGCCTCTTGGATGTGGTAATCATTTCTGTTCCGAGGTCTGCCATCCGGGACCTTGCGGAGACTGTGACTTACTGCCCAGTAGAGTTAAGACATGCTATTGTGGGAAAACACGTTTAGAAGAACAGATCAGGCGGAGTTGCTTGGACCCAATTCCTTCTTGTTCAAATGTATGTAGGAAGCTTCTTCCTTGTAGGTTACATACTTGCAATGAGATGTGCCATGCAGGTGATTGCCCGCCTTGTTTGGTCCAAGTTAACCAGAAATGCCGGTGTGGGTCAACATCCAGGGCTGTGGAATGCTACATAACAACTTCATCAGAGACAGAGAAGTTTGTGTGCTCTAAGCCATGTGGACGTAAGAAGAACTGTGGGAGACATAGATGTAGCGAGCGTTGCTGCCCTCTCTTGAACGGGAAGAAAAATGATCTATCTGGCGATTGGGACCCACACGTCTGCCAAATACCTTGTCAGAAGAAGCTGAGGTGCGGGCAGCATTCCTGTGAATCTTTATGTCACAGTGGACATTGCCCTCCTTGTCTAGAGATGATCTTCACTGATCTTACATGTGCTTGTGGAAGAACTTCGATTCCTCCACCACTACCATGTGGGACACCTGTTCCTAGCTGTCAGCTTCCATGCTCGATTCCTCAGCCTTGTGGCCATTCTGATACGCATGGATGCCATTTTGGAGATTGTCCTCCTTGTTCTGCCCCTGTGGAAAAGAAGTGCGTTGGTGGTCATGTGGTTCTCAGAAACATACCTTGTGGGTTGAAAGACATTAGATGTAACAAGATTTGTGGAAAGACGAGACGTTGTGGCATGCATGCTTGTGCCAGAACTTGTCACCCTGAGCCTTGTGACAGCTTCAATGAATCTGAAGCAGGTATGCGTGTTACGTGTAGACAGAAGTGTGGTGCTCCTAGAAGAGATTGCAGACACACTTGTGCAGCACTCTGCCATCCTTCCGCGCCTTGCCCTGACCTAAGATGTGAATTTTCAGTCACAATTACTTGTTCATGTGGTCGCATAACCGCTACGGTTCCTTGTGATGCTGGAGGAAGAAGTGCCAACGGTTCTAATGTTTACTCTGCGGCCTATGATGAAGCCTCTGTTTTACAGAAGCTTCCAGCCCCACTTCAGCCTGTTGAGTCGAGCGGAAACCGAATCCCTCTCGGACAGAGAAAGCTTTCGTGTGATGATGAGTGTGCGAAGCTGGAGCGTAAGCGGGTTCTTCAAGATGCATTTGATATCACTCCCCCAAATCTGGAGGCATTACATTTCAGCGAGAATTCTGCTATGACAGAGATTATTTCAGACCTTTATAGGCGTGATCCAAAGTGGGTACTGGCTGTTGAAGAGCGCTGCAAGTTCTTGGTACTTGGGAAAGCAAGAGGAAGCACAAGTGCCCTTAAGGTCCATGTCTTCTGCCCTATGCAGAAGGATAAACGAGACACGGTTCGGCTTATAGCTGAGAGGTGGAAACTTGGTGTTAGCAATGCAGGGTGGGAGCCAAAACGGTTTACAGTGGTTCACGTAACACCAAAATCGAAACCGCCAACACGGATCATTGGAGCTAGGGGTGGTGCTATCTCGATAGGAGGGCCACACCCACCATTCTTTGATCCGCTGGTGGATATGGATCCGGGACTTGTGGTTTCTTTACTGGATCTTCCGAGAGAGGCGAATATCAGCGCCTTGGTACTGAGATTTGGGGGTGAATGTGAGCTTGTTTGGCTGAATGACAAGAATGCTTTAGCCGTGTTCCACGACCATGCCCGAGCTGCCACTGCCATGAGGAGGCTTGAGCACGGTTCAGTATACCATGGAGCTGTGGTTGTCCAGAACGACGGGCAATCTCCATCACTTAATAATGCATGGGGAAAATTACCTGGCGGATCGGCGTGGGATGTTCACAAAGGAAATCCTTGGAGGAAAGCTGTGATTCAGGAGAGTGATGACTCCTGGGGAGCTGAAGATTCCCCCATTGGAGGATCATCTACAGATATTCAAGCCTCTGCACAGAGATCAGCAAAGAGCAACACTCCAATCGTTACCTCGGTTAACCGTTGGAGTGTTTTGGAGTCCGAGAAGGCCAGCACATCCACTTTAGAGCCAATTGCTCAGATAGAAGAGAGCAGCAGTTCAAAAACGACCGGTAAACAACCGGTGGAAGGCTCTGGTGAAGAAGTGGTGGATGACTGGGAGAAGGTATGTGAGTGAGAGCAGATGCCAAACGACTGTGATTGGTTTTCAACTTCTTTGCGATGTATGAAAAAGGCAGATTGTTCAGACGTATATAACGGAGAATGTATGCGTCATGCGTGTGCGAATGCTGTGATGACTGATGAGTCCATTTCAGAGCTTAGGTGATAGCCAACGAAGTGCCGTTTTTGTTTTGGCATCTATGACGTTTGCTTCGTTTATTTATATATTAACTAAAACGGCATGTTTTTTCATTGTTCAGTTACTGTGAAACGGCATGTTATTTTAATCATTGAAGAAATATTGTAACGCTTTTTTTTTTTCTTTTTCTTTCTTCTTGACATAATTATGCAACATTAAGGTTGGTTATTCATTCATCAGTATACTTTATCGTGAAATTATTTTTTTCCTTGCAATTGAAGTTAAGGTTTTGAAATCATTAGGAATAGTGAAAACACTTCTCTTTTTTATGTCAAATTTTATCCACTAGCAAAAAATCATTAGAATCTTAAAAAGTTTCATTACAGTCTCAAAATCATTAGGACATGAAACTAAAACGACAAAGGCCAACTAGTTCAAAACTTCATTACAGTCTCAAAAATGTCACTCTTTTGCAAATTGAAACCAAAACACTCGTCACCAACTTCATCTTCACTCAATCGCCATGATAATCTTCTCATTCAACGGATACATGTTTTTTTTTTTTTGGGGTCTATACTCTGTCCCCTTGTATAACTAATATTTAAGTGTTTCAAAGTAACCTTAGACTGGAACTGAGATCCAATATGTGATCAGTTTGATTCTCATACAAAAGTTGAGATAGAAGAAGAGCCACAAACTGAGAATATTTGCTTTAGCTTTTGCCGTCCAATTGAATTATGCCTTTTACATGGTTATTGCACTAAAGTAAACCTTACAAGGAGAATATTGAGAAGAATAGATTGGGTCCAACCAAATTTATTCTTCTTCTGTCACAATCCTATTTTTTTCCAGAGAAAAAATTCCATATAGTGAAAAGAAACAAATCTCTATATAAAGCTCTATATAAAGCTCACTTAAGAGAAGTGTTCTTTTCCCTATAAACAAACAACAAAGAAGAAAGAAAGAAAGAAATGTCTGTCCAAAAAGCTGTCAAGAGTTCTTCTCACTACGAGGCAGAATCCAACATGGAACAAGATGTAATAACGTACAAGTCCATTGTTATTAGTTTTCGTTTCATTAAGTTATTTTATATATGTTGGTTATTTTATTGCAACTAAAAAATCAAACTTGATTAATAGATTGTTAGAAAAGCATGGGTCTTTAAGCCAAGTGGTCTTAATTTCATATGGGGAGGTGATTCTCGGTATTGGGTCATCCCTAGAGAAGACAGGTTGGTACACCCTCCAATCTTACTTTATATACACATTAACCGAATAAAACCGGTTTGATTCTGAATAAACCGGTTTTTGGTTTTCCATGTTAAAAGTAAAAACAAAACTGGAAAGTCTTCTGGTGTTTTCAGGACGCCTGCTGAACTAAAGAAGGTGAGTTGGTTAGAAGTAACCGGTTCGTACGACAAAATAGAGCCAGGAAAAACATACCGAATTGGTTTTAAAATCTCGTTCACAGCTGATGCAACCGGATGGGACCAAGCTCCAGTTTTCATGTCAGCGAAAATTGGAAAGAAAGGGAAGACAATTTGGAAAAGGATCAAATCGGTTAACAATAACATTGAGAAACTCAAAGGCGGAACCGGACCAGTTAACATACCAGATGAGACTGATGGTCGGTTTGAGGTCTTTGTCAGTCCCAATGTAGCAATAAACCAAGACACCAAGCTTCAATTTGGTTTGTATGAAGTGTGGACCGGAAAATGGAAGACAGGTTTGTTGATCTATGAAGCTTTTGTTGAAGAAGTGTAAAGAAACTATGAATCAGTTCTAAAAAATTAAAGACTATATATCTCAAAGATCAATGTCCCAAGAACCTTTTCAATATGTATATATATGATCCATCAATAAGAATCAAGTTGTGCTAATACACGCACACAGTCTTTACAATGTCCTCAGCTCCACTATAAACAAAGAGCTGATAAATCTTGTGTACCTAACAAATAATATCCTATATCCAACCAATCCGTTCTTCATCTGAAGAACTAAAAATGCTGGCTTACGCCTATGGGAGAATTCCGAACACAGCCGCTTATGATGTGCAAGTACAACGCAAGGCACACAGTGATTATAACAGAAGATTTGGCTCCAACGTAATCAACTACTTGGCGTCCTCTGTCTGTAACCTCTTCATGAACCACATTGATACTTTTTCTGAACCCTTGAAATGTCTTCAACATTATAAATGCGATGATTGATCTTGTCGTTTCTAGTGTTACTCTTCCTGTTACATCGAACATAAACCTCCGATTGCTCGGAACTGCCAATGTAGTTGTGATAGCCTCAGTCCACCCATTACTCTTCATCCCATCTCCTGATTCCGAAACCATCTTGCTTCTCGCGGAACCATTACTCTTGAAATCGTCATCTTCGATCTCTTCTATCACATTCTTAGACCTTGAAGATGTAAACACTTCGTGAGATGTCCTAACAATAGTCTGAAGAGCACCGTTACAAACCGAAACAAGAACATCCTTGACACTATCCTGATGTTTCGGATTCGTCAAGCCTTCAAAGATTTGATCATAAGTATTGATATCCATCGTCTTGTCAAGATACACACCAATCGCAGTGCTGGTGAATCTCTCAATACAAACAGCTAAAAGCTCTCTACACTTATCATCACAAAGCAAATTCACCCATTTAGGTGTCTCTGAAGAATCAGAACCCTCACATTTCACACCACTCTCGAGCTTACCAGAGTAAAACCCAAGAACAAGATTCTTAGCAAAGCTACCAACAACAACAGAAACAAACCCAGTCCCAGCCTCTGAGAAAACCTTATCAAGAACACTCGATTCCGATGACTTCTCAATTCCTGAATCACCAACGTTGTTGTTACTAGACGACTCGGATTTGTACCCACGAAAGGCACCAATCGTCACAGCCTGAGAAACCCTAGAAAGCGAATCCATAAACTCATTCGACGTTGTGATCTTCGCGATCTGCTTCAAGCTATTAGGGATTTCATCAGAATCTGAATTGAGAAAACCCTTCAAGTCTCGTGACACGATACTTAAGGTCTCAGCTGAATCAGAGATCAATTCAGCTACAGAGACAATGGCTCCAAAAAGCTTAAAAAGACGCTTCCTTTTTCTGGCGACAGATGGCAAATGATAAACCTTGTAAGCTCCATAACCAGAAACACCAGAAATCGCCATAAAAATCAGCCATTTCCTTCTTCTCTGAGATAAAAAGATACCCTTTTCTCTCAATCGAAGAAGGTCCATTCAACAACACAACTAATTGATCGAATCTGAAAAAAAAACAATTGCAAAATCACAGCTTTTAAGGGAAAAGATCAAGGACTATAGATAGAAATCTAGGGTTTGTTATTGTGATCCGAAAATGGGGAAATAGGATTCAGATTCTGTTGTTTGTTGACAATAACATGAATGGAGACAGATAATTTAGTTAGGAGATAAGAAGAAGAAGATAAGGGGAAATAGCGATGCATGAAAATGAAATTGGCGTGAGCCGTGAGATGAGAGGAGAGATTCAAGAAAGGCTGGAAGAGAGAGACAACGAAGACAAGTTGGATAACAACAAAACGGTTCGGTTTTGATTGGATAATGAACCTCCTCTACAATAACGAACCTTATTGAAGCTTTTCCCATTTTTTTCTGGTTGGGGAAAAAAAACATTTTTTTAATATCAAATCTTAGTTTTAATTTTTTTACTTTGAAGTTAAAAAACAAAAAGAAAATATGAACAAAAACTTTCTTCTTACATTAAGAGATTTTTTGAAATTAATTATCTTTTGAAACAAGATATTTTAATAGTTTAGTGACCAAAAAATTCAACTAAATAGATATAAAAGGATTATATAGGTAGTTTGATGATGTCGGTTTGTACTACTGGACAAGTGGACATGTTGATTTTTTCGACATAAATTTTGTGGCAGAGGTGGTCAGGTGACATAAATTTGATGGGTTTTGCCAAAAACATTAAGAGAATGTCTCTTTAACATTTTGATAAATCATAAAATTACCAAAATATTACCACAATTTTTTTTAGCTTTTTATCATATGTTTTTCTAACAATATACATCACATCAGTTCGTTTGTTTTTTTGCACTTGGATTACATGTTATCAATCAAAATCTTATTAGCTAATGTTAGGTTGGGCCTAACAGCACTTTAAAAGCTTAATGGATCTTACCCGCCGTTTCAAACATCGATGTCCATGTTAAGCCTATCTCAATTGTATACCAATACCTTAAAACGTAATGGTAGAACTCATCTTCCAAAACTCGCTTTGAGAAAATGGTGTTTTTCAGTTTATAAGCCATTTACTATTTCTTCTCCCTTATGATGTGATGTTTTCGTGATAGCCATTTGATATTTGTTTCTTTAATAAGAAGAGTGATTTGATAGTTAATCACGTGGAATCTTATCAGCTAGTTGATTAATTAAAAAAGGAATGCAGATATGTTTAAATATATGAGTTGTTTCTAGAAGCATTGATATGTATTTGTTTTTACTTCCGACATGGCTCCACATGTTGTTCTTATCTTATTCTCTTATAAGAGATGTCTTTTCTTATGCAATGTACTCAGACCTGCATTAGTCCAAAGTCCAATGTCCAAACCCACCAATGTTTTTTCCCCACGCTTCCATATGTTCTTTCCAGCACCACGTTTCCACTTTTTTTATTCATACATAAAATTTAGAAGTTTCTATATAGTAACGAAATAATTTAACCGGTTGGCCGGTACATGTTTTCGTATTCAAACAGGTTTTGAAGTTTATGCTAGTTGTCAAAAGTTATGGCCATCTTTATCTCTTTAAACAAACATAAAAACAGAAACAAGTAAGTAAAATCAATTTTTTACAAGTAAGATCGTAAGGAATCAATGATATTTCAGTCTTCTAAATTAATAAAATCGATGATATTCAGTCTCCTTTATTTTGTTAAAAATGATGATATTCAGTCTTCAGTCAATAATTTTTAGAAAATGTATTTTAGTATATATTAACATAACTTAAATAAGAAAATTAAAGATAGAAGAAATAAACAAAACATGGTCGATATATAAAACTATTCTATATTTCTACGAATCGACGACAAATCCACAACCTTGACTAACCGTACATTCAGGCTTTGACATTCGTATTTTTTTGACATTTAAATTTGAACAAAGAAAATAACACATGAGAAAAATGAAGAAAATCTCGTAGGCGGCGTTTGTTACTTCATGGTTATGAGTCTTATGACTTATCCAATATTAGGTACTCTTAAATCCAAATAATTTATTCAAAAGTTGAAAACTTGAAATCTAGATTAATTTCGAAAAGAATCTTACGTTACTACAATAATTTATTCATTTGAACTATAGAAATTCATATAAACTACTGGTTTAATTCAGATGTGCTGATACAGTAATAATTTCAACGAAAACTGAAAACTACTGTACTACACAAACTCCAAATACTATTTCAACATATCAAATTGTGATTAATGATTGATTTTTAATCAGTGGGACCTTGTGGACTGCTCTCTTCAACACTCTTTCGATAATTATTTTCGTAAAACCAACTTTTTTGAATAAAATATCTAAACAAATCCTAAAGTCACGTTTGATTCTCTCAATTATTTCTCCTTTAACACTCTTTTAAACATTTACTATTATTTAAATAAACCCTTAAAACCACATCACACTCCAAAAAAAAACCAAACCCACCATTCAAACAAAACACAAAAAACAAAACCATTTTCCAAAAAAAACAAAAACAGAGCATGAAACCAAACCAGAACAAGTTCTTGAGAATAATCTCAACACCTCTTAGAGCTTTAGGCAAGGCACGTGATTTCTACGTGAGAAGCATCACCGGTTGCGCAGCTCGGACTCAATATTCCTCCTCCGCCTCCGTCTCCGCTCCTTTTCCTAGAAGCCGGAGCTCCTCCTCCGCCGCCTTTTCCTCCTCCGCTTCATCCCGGAGAGCCACCGATTTCGGGATAGATGAAGATTACAGCGAGCTAGTGAGAGCTGCGTCGGTGAGGAGTTTAGGGCACAAGAATGAGATAGACATGTTGTTACAAGAGAAGCAGCAACAACAGAGGCAACAGAAGCAAGGAGGGTTACCTAAGAGCTCGAGTGTTGGGATGGCGAAGATAGAGGAAGAGGAAGAAACAGAGGAAGGCTCTGTAAATCCGAAGATGAAGAAGACTAAGAAAGTCTCTGATCTTTTGTACCCTCGTAGCAAATCTTACGCTGTTACTGGTAGCCCTAAATTGTAATTTCTCTTCTTTTTCTTCTTCTTCTTCTTGATTTTAGTATTTTGTGGATTGATTATAATATTTTTCTAGCTCGATTTTGTGCACTATGAAATAATATTTTTAGCTTGATTTTAGTATTTTTTTGGATTGATTAGAAATAACTAAACCTACTCTAGCTTCGAATCCAAGTTTTTTTAAAAAATCGTAAGGTTAACTCTTTTTGTTTAGTTGGTTTCAATGATTTTCCATTTGTATCTCTTTAGTTTTCGTTTTAACTGTTTTGTTTGGAGTACGTTTTTTGGAGAGAAAAAGGAACCAACCTACAATAATGTCATTGATAATTTGATATACGTAAACCTTTAATATCTAAATTCTGGTATAAAATTCGAACTTATTACTTAAGTGAGGCTTAACTCCACTTGGGTACTAGCTTTGTTTTGTTACCATAATTATGACTGGTTCACAGAATCAAATATGTATTAAGTAAACTTATTGTGTGGAAATTTACAATTCTCGTACCTTATTAATCAGTTGATCTCATAGACTGATATATTTCTATTTGATTTTAAACCAGTTTGTTTTGCTGTATATGCTTGCATTTCCATTTTCGGATTTATCATTGATAAAGTTCTTTCTAGATATACGTATATACGATGATTAATTAGTGAATATAATTAAATCAAGGACAGCATTGTGCTTTACCACTAAATGACGGAAAGCTTATGAATCATCGATGTTTGTAATCTTTTCTTTCGTGTTTTGATTATTATAGTGTATTGTTTGTTTTGTCCTCCAACTGGCCACTGCCAACCAAATCTACTTTACCTAATCAAATAGAGTATTATATAAGGCTGCTCACTGTTAAAATAATGTTTTCCTAATTAATTATCCGAGTATCGACAAAAATTATATACACTGGATCAAAATATCTTTACGTTTCTCTACTTAAAAAATAGAATTATCATCTTCTTTTCGTTTCGTTGTGGCATGGCTCCACTAATTGTGACAATTCATAGATGGGATCTTCTAAAAATTTATAGCAGCTAATACTGGATAAAAAAAACCACAATCTGAGAATCACATTTTAAGTTGTAAATGTTAGAACTTCCGATTCACTTTGGTACAGAGAATGACACAGAGCAGTAGTCATTGATTTGATGTAAGCATACAGTGAAATTTGGTACAATCAAAAGCGAAAGAGTTTTATGGTTTATGGTGTTGGGGGCTTTTTGAATTGCATTAGAATCTCCCAAGATTCCCTTCTCTGTGTGTTGTTGTATCTATAATGCCAAAAAAAAAACTCTGTATGACGAAAAAGCCATCTCTTGTTTTCTTATCCTACTTGTCTCGCCGGTCCTTGGGGAGCAAATCAGCCTTCCTCAATCTGAACCTGAATCTCATGCCTACATTAACAACACATTAGAGTCAGGACTTACTATCAGAACATCTGATTTGCGGTTCCTCTGTTAAATTCATAATCTCATCGATAATGGACCAAGATTTAAGGCCTCTGTTAAATTCATAATCCCGTGGGTTTTAAAAACTGCTGAAAAAGCATAGTAAGCGTTACCTGTATTTCTAGAGAGGAACTTCAGAAGCTCATCGATGATGATAACCTGCAGTATTTACAGAAATATTCAAATCAAACTAATCATTTTTGAGGTGTTTAATTTCTTCTAAAAATATTATCTCATAGCTGAAAGATCTGCCTATTGTCATGCTTTTCCTTAACAAATTTGCATCCATATGAGAACTAAGGTGGTATATGGCAAGGTTAGATTCCAGTGTGAGGGTGCCATAAGAGTTCTAGTAGACTATGCAGAAGAAGCTAAAAGTGAAAACAAAAACTTACTGGAAACGAAAGATACAGAACAGCAGTCCACTCGGCCCAGGATAATGGCGTCACCTATAAAGCAGTGACCATGAGACTGAAAAGAAGAAAACAGGTACGCCACTTTTTGTACAAGGTTTGCAGAAGAGAGGAAACTTACAGAAAATAAGACTGCCAGTGGATGAACATATAATATTAGCACGTGCAGAAGCATTGTCAGAATAATTGAACCAACAAGCCATAAGTTACTCCTTGGGGTTATAACCCTGCAATCACATACCTTCTTTACTAAAGCTAATATAACTGATCAAGGAGCAATTTCGTCAAGTTGCATAATCCAATGTTTGTTCGTGGATGACACTCCACCACTTATAGTCTATTCAACGGCATTATATTTTGTTTAAAATAGTTAAGACTCCCTAAATGCAGTAAACTCTATGATGTTGTAGTGAATCAACAGAAATAATCGATAACAAGGAAAGAGAGAAAGGAAGAAGCTACGCTTACAGAAGGGATTGATTTTCGCTGAGGTTATTTAGAGCATTAAACATCTCGACAACAACAAGTACTGTCATAGCCACAGTAGATGGGTGCCGATCCTCAAATATGCTGCAGGGATAAGTTGTCTCTCTAAGTGCGCACGTTTCAAAGTTCATCTGAAATGATAAGGATCGTTTGATCAGCAACTTGGAAAACAACTTCGAAAATGTGGTGGTACACACATGAATGGTGAAATAATTTGAGAGATGTAGCTGGAAATAAAACCTAACCAGTTCACTGTAAGTAAGTTTAGGACCACCATCAGAGTAAACAAACCACCATATAAAGCCAGCAACAGTTGCCAGGCCGACATAAACTGCAAAGAAATATAAACAGGTCAAGAAGATAGGTCCTCTAGAAGGATAAAAGCTTGAAGGCATAAATTCACATTTAACTACTTGACCATAAAGATTCCAAAATCTTAGTTTCGTATAGACGATAAAGATAAGTTACAGAGCAACATTATCAGTTTACCTCCGATAACCAAATAGCGGAAGAATAACCACCCAGTGACCACTGCTTCACCAACCTGGAATTCAACAACAATCAGAAGAATAATGAAGATAAAAGGTCTGAGTAGTTTGAGAAGAAATTAGCAAATTACAAGCAGATAGTTAATTGAGAACTGTAAATCACATCTTAAAGTTAAATGACGAAGCCTTCGCACCATCATCACTAAAACCCATAATATTGGTAACGGTCAAAGAGAGATGAAAAGCAATATAAAACCTAATAAATAAGGAGTATAGTATTATGAGCTCCCGTGAATTCAAACTGATGCCAAATCGTGCGAAAGTAATCGTTTTTCATATTACTTCTCTCCATGAACTAAAATCCACAGAGATACTGTCCAGTTACAGCTGCTACCTTTCGGGGTTTGGCCTTCATAACATCGGAATCTTGTTTATTAAAGCCAATGGCAGTGGCAGGCAATCCATCTGTTACCAAATTGACCCACAGAAGTTGAACCTACAATTATTTACCATAACAATCATAAATTCAGACAAGATTAACACCAATAAAATTTGCAGATAAGTTGCTTCCACGCTAAACAAACTCACAGGTGCCAGGGTATCAGGGATTCCCAGTACAGCTGCAACAAATATACAGACCACTTCCCCTATATTTGAAGAGATCATGTATCTAATGAATTGCTTTGTGTTATTATATATAGCCCTTCCTTCTGCAACAGCCTGTCAAGATGAGAAACAGTTTAGGAGTTGCATTAATAAAGATACTGCAGTGTGATTTGTAGTCTTGTTTTTTTCTTTATATCAGACTGGGGAGAAGGATAGCCAACTAAGATTTGCATAATTTAATAGATGTGATATACGAATATAAAGGAAAAACTATAAGAAAATGAAAGGAAGCAAACATACCGCAACAATTGAAGCAAAATTATCATCAGCCAAAACCATATCTGAAGCACTCTGGAATAGAGCAATGAAAGAAAAATTAGGTTAACAGCAGAGGAGCATAGAGATATGAACCCTTGGCAAGCCAGTTTATTGAAGAAAGGAACAATCCAGTTTTAGTGGCTTAACTAGTCTGCTAGCTCAAAAGAATTATGTATACCGGTCACATTGCATTGTATCACTACTATAGCACAAGTAATAACCAGAAAAATTTTCACTATATTTTTTGTTTTGAATTGCAACATAGGATAAATAGATAACGACAGCGTAAGGACCTCATAATTGGAGGACAAGAGTACCATGTCAACTGATTACCATGTCTGAACGAGAGGAAGAGATGAAGATAAAAGCACATGGACAAGAGATTATGGCTAGCTATCATTTAAAAATGATGATAAGTTTGAATGGTACAAATAAAAATCAAGTGACACAGGAATACAGGATGCCAACTGAAAACAAACACTAAGTGTATACCTTTGCTACAGCTGTTCCAGAACCCATGGCAATCCCAATGTCAGCTTTCTTCAAAGCAGGGGCATCATTGACGCCATCACCAGTCATTGCCACCTAGGAGAATAAGGTTCATGAGTGCGACAGTTAGAAGCAAGAACTTTCTTCTCTAATAAGTAAATATATTACAAACTTGAAATGTTGGAACAAAGCCATGAATACAAAACACGAATGCATGTGAACTGAAACGCAGACAAAAGAAGAAGGTGTAATGAATGACAACTTAGTGACCAGGGAATTACCACTTCGTTTTGGTTCTGTAGGGCTTCAACAAGCATCCTTTTGTGGGAAGGTTCAACCCTACACAACAAGAGAAACAACAGAAAATTCTGGTTTCTCATGAATGACTATAACTCGAACTTTGGAGAAGAAAAGAGAAATACACGTAATAAGTAAACATTCAGTTCCGTGATTCTAAAAACACTATCAATAAAAAAAAGAGATGAACGAAAACCTGGAAAAAAGTGTCATCCGTCGCAGTGCTAGAGTTTGCTGCACCGCTGGAAGCCGTTCAAATTCAGAAGCGGTGTAGGACATACCAGAAAAGTCTACCAGATTGTCAAAAGCCCCTATTTTTCTACACAGTGACTCTGCTGTGGACTGAAGTTTCATGCTAATCAGAATAAGTACAAAAATGATGGAGATAATCAACAAACCGCATGCTCAGTTTTCTAGTACCTTGTTATCCCCAGTAACAACTATAACACGTATCCCAGCAGTCATACACGCAAGCATAGCATCTCTCACTTCTTTTCTTGGTGGATCAAGCATTCCCACCTTCAAAGGAAGTATAATATGAGCAAGTCTTCAACAGTAAAAGAAAAATGGTGAATCAGTAAACCTAATTGAATCCATCATATTTGAAAGAAAGGCGTACCAACCCAATAAACGTCAGGTCGTTCTCATTATCATAGGAAATAGTTTGTTGACCGTGGGGCACGGTTTTAAATGCTAATGCTAAGCATCTCAATGTTTCATCGCCAAAACTGTTGCAGAAAGACATGGTCAGAAAATGGAAAAAACACTTCGGTCAAACCTTTAACAGCAAAGTTACTATTAGAAGGGAGAATACAAGCATGGAAAGATAACCATCACGAAGTAATATGAAAATATAATCATATTCATTAACGAGTTGATGTCTAACCTGTGGAACCTTGACTCAAGCTCTGCACGGGCAGCAGCAGTTAGAGGAACAACAGAACCATCACCGTTGCAAAGAATTTTAGTACACCTAGCTATTATACTCTCTGGAGCACCCTTTGAGAACATTACATCCATTTGCTTATGGCTACATAGGACGCTCATCATTTTGCGGTCACGGGTAAACTCCAAAACATAAACCTGAGTGGATTTTTGATGAAGATGACAATCATTTAGTCATACTAAATTACTATATATTAT